CCCCAAACTCACCAGTGTTGACATTTGGGCATATTGAGTGCTTGTGCCAAGTTTGGTCCAGATCCATCATTGTTTGAGTCCACATGCTCTCTGGATGTAGGTGAACTATAACACCAAAACTCAAGGTCAATGCCCACCAAACCCTTCTCATGTTTTCTGTTGGTCATGGGAGTTCTGTGTGCCAACTTTGGTTCAGTTCCATCATTGGTGGAGTTTAGAATGCTAATTGATTGTAGGCTAACTATACATACCAGCAACTACAACTCCCAAATGACAAAATCAACCCCCCAACCCCACCAGTATTCAAATTTGGGCATATTGGGTATTTGTGCTAAATTTGGTCCATTGAATGAAAATACATCCTGCATATCGGATGTTTATGCGATAATTCATCACAGTAGCAAAATTATAGTTATGAAGTAGCAACAAAAATAATGTTATGGTTGGGGGTCACCACAACATGAGGAACTGTATTAAGGGGTCACGACATTAGGAAGGTTGAGAAACACTGGATTAAACCCTTATGTCAGCAAGACTGAAGACCAACAAGTCAGAGGTTTGAATCCAGGGAAAGCACAGATGAGCTCCCTCTGTCAGCTCCAGCTCCCCATGCGGGGACATGAGAGGAGCCTCCCACAAGGATGGTAAAGCAACAAACATCCGGGCATCCCCTGGGCAACATCCTTGCATACAGCCAGGCCCGTATCCAGGATTTCGTTTCGGGGGGGGGGCTGAATTTTTTTCAGGGGGGGTTTCGGGGGGGCTGAGTTTCGGGGGGGGGGGCTGAGTCTGAGTGAAAGAGGGTCTAGCCTAGCAAACCTTTTGTATCATTACCCCAATACCCCCATGCATATGGTATATATTGAGTATGGTGATCAGATCATGATATGAATAAACATAACAGTTTAAATAATGCACCAGTAAGGCCTTTTCGCGAACCACCATGAGAATTTGGGGGGGGGCTGAAGCCCCCCGACCCCCCCCCCCGCCCCGGCTACATGCCTCTATAACACCAGAAGCCTGCCACATCCGGGCATCCCCTGGGCAACATCCTTGCAGACAGCCAATTCTCTCACACCAAAAGTGACTTGCAGTTTCTCAAGTTGCTCCTGACCCATACACAAAAAAACCCCACTAATTTAATTTAGATCATACTTTTCTCCCAATATGGGACCCAAGGCAATTGAGACCATGAACTGAGACAAGATACAATTACAAGGTGTTTTTGCCAGTGTGCTGTAGCAGTTCGAGTGTTGGGCTACGATGGGATGCATGAATTCAATGCTCCACTGGATGACCTTAAACATGACTCTCTCTGAACCTCAGAGGGAGGCAAAGGCAAACCTATTCTCCACAAACCTTGTAAAGAAAACATATAATAAGCTTGCCTGAGGGTTGCAATAAGTCAGAAATGACTTGAAGGTACACAGCAATAATCTAAACAGTCCTAATGATAAACACGTTTTAAACAATTACATATACTACCATATAAACCCGCCAGTATTTTAGAACAGACCTAAATATCCTAAAGGCACCACATATCATCTGATGTTGGAAGCTAAGCAGGGTCAGTTCTGATTAGTAATTGGATGAGGACTGCTAACAAATACCTGGTGCTGTGGGGCATATTTTAGAGGAAGGAACTGGCAAGAGTTTCCTTGTCTAGGAAACTCCTATGGAATTCATGGGGTTGCCATACGTCAGCAGAAGATTTGAAGGCTCTGATACTGTATACACATTTTAAAACACGAGTAAAATAATTTTAAAACACAACAGAAACAGCAGAGATACATTTTTGGTATACCCACTTTACCACAATGTGCCCGTTGAAGAAGAAAAAAGGACTTTATCTGCTGGAACGAAGAGAGCCAGCCTTGTATCTCTTGGGAGGGAGTTCCACATCCCCTTATCTCACCTAACGTGGCGAGACCAAGAAAAAGCTCTCTCCTGTGGATCTTAAAAATCAGGCAGCCTCAATTAGAGAGAGATGGGCATTCAAACAGTCTGGATATAAGTTGTGTATAACTTCATAAATCATAGTTTTCATCATACTAAAAAATGTACCAATATATATCATTTATTTCCTGTGACCTGAAACTGTATAGCTACTAAGAAAATAAGATCTGTATCTAATTTTTAGGGCAGGCGCTTGACAAATAGGATTGTGGGACTGCCCTCATTCCAGTAGTGATTGTGACAGGACTAGTAACAGGGACTAGTGATCCATTAATGATTCTGGAATTGTAAAGAGATATACATCGGTGGCCCAGAAAAAAATCGTTGACGGAGTTATACGAGTGGAATGAGTAAGTGGCTAGTGTTGTGATGAATTGCCCCTTTTCTAGACATGTGCGTCTTCTTTGTGAACACTCAGAAGAAATGATTATTCTTGCTGTTATTCTACCAAACATCTGGAAGGATTAATGTTTTTTCCCAAGGTGTCCAGTGACTATATACAGTATCAGAGCCCTTATGTTAAAACAGAACATATTACACATTTGCTCAGTTTCTTCCACCATTAGATATTATGTTCCAATGGCAATACTCTTTTTTTTACAAGGCCACAGCGATATTATGTTCTATCATCTGCATATTTTTTAGTTTAGCAAGCTCATAGAACAGGGTTTTTTTTCGTGTCAGGAGCGACTTGAGACACTGCAAGTCGCTTCTGATATGAGAGAATTCGCCATCTGCAAGGACGTTGCCCAGGGAACGCTGGGATGTTTCATTTACCACCAAAAATTATCTGTTAGTTCTCTGGCTGAGAGATGGAACTTGTTTAAATGGATGTACTACCTATACTACCTAGCATGTTGAAAGCATCTTTGCTAGTCACCCTTTAACTCTGCTACAATGGAAACTGTATGAGCAAAAGGTTTATGAGCAACCTAGGGTGAATTTCTTCAATGATATGTAATAAGTCCTGTTTTAAACATCTGAATTCTTACCATATTATTTCTGCACATTTCTTATTTTTATGTGACCCAAAAAAACTAGTAAAATGTGTACTTTTTATAATTCAGGAGAGCCATAGATGATAAGATTCTTTGTACATCCATACAGATTAATTTTTTAAAAAGCCAAAGGAGTATTGCACCAATAAGGATTGTAAATATCAAAACCTTGCTCTCTCACCAACCCACTAAACAGGATTGGGCCAAGATAACTTTATGCCTAAGGTAAAAGACGGCAGCCATTCTGTTTCCTGTAACAAAGACAACCAGCCATTGATTTTTTACTTCAGCACTAGCAAAGGGACAGTATATGCCACCATACTGGAGAACAACAGCGTAGGTGGCATATGCATGTTACGTGGCACAAAGAAGTCACAGAATTTTCATTCAAGCTAATTATGAAAACCATTTCCACAGATACTGAATGTTCCTTTTATTCCTCTTATGAAAATGGAATGTTTTCCATGACTGTTTCACTGACTCATCTTGAGATCAAGAGCTGGATGTTCAGGAAAGGATCATTAGGCCACTTGAGAAATGCTGGCAACCTTGTCCATACCACCCCTAGCAGTCCACAGCAGCCTGTGGTTGGCTCAAATGATGGTTTTACAGAAAAACAGAAAGGTAGTCTGCAAAAAACAGTGACATAGCAACATCAGTTACTACCACACTGGAAAGAGCTACCATTCAAATAGTGATGCATAAATTTGTATGACATCTTCCCATTCAAATAAATTTTTATGTGTTCCCTCGCTACTTCGTGGTTCACTTTTCGCGTTTTTGCTGTTTCATGGGTTTTTGCCTCCCAGTTTATGAATGGCTGCCATTGCCCAGAGCAGCATTCCAATCCCACCTCCTGGCAATGATGGAGTGTGGGAGGGGGTTTCAACCTCTCCCTGGGGAGAGAGGCAGCCAATCAAGAGAGGTTGCAAAGCAAAGCAGAGATAGCTAGAGGGGAAAAAAGTGTGCAGTGCCTTTAAATCTCTCCTTGGTCCTGCCTCACCCTTGGAACGATATACATATATAGTGTCCCTACTTTGTGGATTTTCACTTTTCGCGGGTGGTCCTGGAACGTAACAGCCACGATAAGTGAGGGAACACTGTAATCAGAAATGGGAAAAAAATCAACTGAAAGTGATGTTGCTCTGAAAATAACTAGATATCTTAGGCTAAGGTGGAAGAAAGGCTGAGGCATAAGGCTCCTCAAAATATTAGCAAAGTTTAGGTCATGTTACTCCCTGCCTTGCCTATAAAAATGTTTTACGTTGCCACTGACATAAAGAGTTCTTCATGGTCTTTCTTTAAACTCAAAGAGACAGATAAGGAGACATATTTTATTCAAACAATTTCCATATGAACCTTCCAAGCTACACTCATTTCACTATGTGAGATGTCACAAATTAATGTTTCTTCATTAAAATGAGATGGGAAAGGTTTCTGAGAGTAGTCCATATTCCAGTATGTAATTTAAATTGATTAGCCACTCCACTTTTTCTGAATATATTCACATACAGCACAAATGCATATAGCAGGTCAATACAGCAAAAGCGATAACAACACGGTGTTTCCAAGAGTCTTTGGTTATGCCTCCTCAGAGACTGAGGGGAAAGAAGTACATCTTTTAGTAAGTGCATATATAATATTTGCACCTTGTCAACACAATTTTGTCTGCTCTACTGCATTTATTGTTGCTTGAAACCATCTTCACTATCAAGAGCCTCTTCAGCTTTTCCGTCCCAATCCTCCTGTTTCAATGGAATCATGTCAGACAGAAGAATGGTATAGATGGAGAACAGGAAGCGATGTTTGAATGTTGTGGTAAAACCACTTTGTGGTGACTCAAATTTAGAGAAGACATTTTCAGCAGCAAAGAATCAATCAATATTCTTGAATGATCAGTTAGGGGCCATTCACAATTCCCAAACATACCAAGCACCGCTGTGCCATCTCTTCTTTGCTTTTTTGACATCCAATTCAGGTACTAACCTATCCTTCGAAAACTGTAAAGGACCACCATACGTTCACAGCCTTCCACACTTTATGAGGACATTTTCACCAGTTTAATGTGGAATGGTAACAAAGGCTAGAGAAAAGGACTCATATAAGAAAAGTACAATCTCTTGAAAAAATGTGCAAAATGCCAAATACAGGAAATTTTAGATATCTGAACCAAGCTCAGCACACTGCTTGTCTGATATGTGGTTTGCTAATGATTCGATGATGTCAAGTAGGAGAGGTTGACTGAGGGCTCGAAGATTTGGCAACTTGGAGACCTTTTTTGGAGAGGAGAGAAAAAAAACACACACACACTAGTTATTTCTGTAAATCCAGTCATGCCTGAAACATGCACAGTCATCAAATTCACATGTATTACATTTGCCATCATAGTCTAATAACACCGCTGCAATGTTCGTAAGGAGAAAAATTCAGACCAGCTGTGTCACTGCAAAGGTTATTTAAAAAACAAAATAATCTTCCACTGGTGCTTTTAAAATGGTCTAAAGCTTTGATCTTATACTTTCATAAGAACTCTGTTATGATCAGCATTTACAATTACCATGAATGATCAAATTAATATAGGAGGCAACAGATATAGTTTTCTAGAAAGAAGTTATTTGCTTTTTGCTTTTGCTTTTTGCTAGATGCAATCAATTAACTATACTTTACATCCACCATGGAGCCTTTCAATGCTGGATGTTACAAATCCATGCTGCTCTATCCTTTGTTCCTCCTCTTGCAACCTTCTGCCCCTATGGGGTTTGTTAATGCTCCAGAAAAGATCTGAAGGGTTTATGGAAGAGGGACAACTGCCATTCCTCCCAGTTTTGTTTGTTGTCAGGAGTGGCTTGAGAAGCTGCAAGTTGCTTCTGGTGTGAGAGAATGGGTGTCTGCAAGGAGGTTGCCCAGGGGACACCCAGATGTTTGATGTTTTACTATCCTTGTGGGGAGATTATCGCATTACACCATCCAGTTTTGTTGATAGAAGCCCTTCTGGATGTAGAAATATACAACTGGATCCTTGCCATTAAGAACTGAATACTTTCTTTCCAGATCCAAAGATTGTATCAAAATCAAGATATTATTTTTCACTTAAAGAAAACTGACTGGTCCAATGTTAACATATAAACCTATCATACTGAGTTTGATATGTATTTCATTTGTCATAACACAAGGAACTTTAACCCTGAGAAACACCTTTTGTGGCTAAAACCTCCTGTCTCCTGGTTCTCACCTTTCTCAAATTAAGCAGAAATGTGGTTTTGGTAAACCATTTTGTGAGAGACTTTCAAAGCCAGTAGAAAAAGATGTTTCGAATCACAGCTATTAAAAGATGGAATTTTAAAACACCAGCACTGGTATTAACACTTTATAGCAGAGTAAAAAAGCAGACAACTGATGGCTGAGATTGTAGAGAAAGAAGATTTTCAGCAAGTTGATCGCTGAAATATTTGACTCTTATTGACATGACACATGTACACAACCCATGAAGTGCATACTGTCAAACTCTTTCTTAAAGTGCTCCCATTATGTTGATTCATTTATTTTTAAAAAGAAAAAATAATGAAAAAGAAGGCTTTAACATGTCCTTGGTGACAGATAGATACAAATCAGTGAGTACAAGGTGTATTTGCAACCACTGCTGATGGACTGAACACAGCAGAGTTAATTCAGTCTCACTACGGTTGCATGTTACATATTTCTTGACACTCGTCAGATTCACAAAATTTGTTACTGACAAAGGATTCCACTATGTCACATCATAATTGCTTGTTTTGAGAGCATAGTAAAGGTAAAGGTTTTCCCTGACATTGTCTAGTAGTGTCTGACTCTGGGGGGTGGTGCTCATCTCCACTTCTAAGCCAAAGAGCCGGTGTTGTCCATAGACACTTCCAAGTCATGTGGCCAGCATGACTGCATGGAGCCCCGTTACCTTCCTGCAGAAGCGGTACCTATTGATCTACTCACATTTGCATGTTTTCAAACTGCTAGGTTGGAAGAAGCTGGGCCTAATGGCAGGACCTCACCCTGTTCCCGGATTCGAACCACCAACCTTTCAGTCAGCAAGTTCAGCAGCTCAGCGGTTTAATCTGCTGTGCCACCAGGGGGCCCTTGCTATGCAATTCATATGTGGAAAAGAGGTTGGCTTGGACAAATCAAATCCTTTTTTGAATTTGTGTCAATCCTGACCAACAATGTAGATGTTTTATGATTTCATGAAAACAATATTAGCAAAATTTCCAAAACATATACTCCCTTTGCACAATTAGCTGAAAGTTCTAATTAAATGCATTGCTAGAAAGAACATTATTGAGCAATATGTGAAAATATCAACAAAAAGAACAGTTGAGAGTTAAAGACAGACAACAGATAACAGAAGGGGAGCTGAAGAAATTGTTCAAAAGTTATCCACAAATGTATACCATGTATGTTATCTATATATTTGCCAGTATTAAAAGCAGATAATAAAAGTATAGCAAGGGAGGAACAAGAATGAAATGTCAGACTACCTTAAGCTGTTTTCAACCATGGCAGAGAAAGGGGACAGCAGATGCCCAGAACCCCAGAAAACATCCAACCAACCTTGGTGAACTGGTGAACAATGATATGCAGGCAGTGTCTCTTCATATCCAAAGCCTGAGTCTTGTCAGCTGCCTCTAAAATCTTAAATAAAACATTTTAAGATGTGTATGATTATTTTCTGGAAAAAAAAATGTAAATTTGAACATTTGACAGTCTATATAGAGGGGTTTTGTAACTGGGACAGGAATCTCCCTGGAGCTGTGTACTAACGGTACACCTTCTATGGCATTAATTGTACGAGGTTGTATCGTATCTTCTACATGTTTGAAATCTACAAAAAATGTATCTTCCATTTTAAGGAAATCTAGATACACAGTCTGCTATTACAAGGATTAGCCTAGAACTTCCGTAAGTCTAGAAACTGAACATGTCCAGGTTCTTCTTTTGCATGTGAAGGAGGAGGACTAATGTAGACTACTCCATGTAAGTCTGAGGCTTGTCGTGGTGTTTTCTTATGAGATAAGTCTGAACTGGAACATGACAAATACTGAGATCATAATATCACATGGATACACTAAACTGTTATGATAAGCCTACTATTGATTGTTCACTCAGAAACAAATTAGGCCTGTCACAATTTTAAATTATTTTCAGAATATGGTTGGGAGATGTATAACCCCTGCCATGTTTTAGACTATAACTCCCATGTTCCTGGCCACAGCTGATGATTACAGTTCTAATCCAGAAACATCTTGCATGGACGTACATTCACAATCCCCAATTCAGAACAAGCCAGATATACTTGATGTTACATGAATAATGTCACAGGTATGCAGAGGTTTGTGTTTAGGAAGTACTACATTTAATTTTCAGTACGCTATGGCAATGAAATTTATCTTGAGGATAGGAATATATCATGCAAAAATGTATGGCCTTTTAAATGGATTATTTCCAACGGAAAGAAATATGCTGAGGATAAACTGCAATTAGTTGCAAATTGATCTGATGGCATTTATTACCTGGAGCACATTTTCCACCGTAACATTCATTTCCAGATTCTGCTTACAATATGCTTGGAGTCGGTTATTGTAGAATCCATAATAATAAGGGGCAGCAAAGAGGTAGCTAAAAAAAGCCAGTTAAAGAGAATTCATGATTCGAGTTGCAAGGAACAAAGGAACCATAAACCTAAATGGAATGGCAATAAGGACAAACAGGGATTTGACCTCTGCCTGCGTTTTCTAATGTGTTATTGTTGTAATTGCAGCTGGCTGCCTCCTTGAAAATTGTCTTTGGCTTTGGGCCATGCATAGTGCTGCCACTTAAACTATGCTACATATGCAGCAGCTGTTACCCAATTTCCCGTGAACTCAAACATTCTAGAAAGAGAGAGTGTAAGCAGAAAAAAGGCACAAAACTGGTGCCCTTGGAGAAGATCGTTGACAACCTTTGATTCGTGGACTTTGAGGATAAAGGGCTGGGGCTTTCTGATTAGCAGAGATGATCTTATTTGCCAACTCTGATCAGTTTCTTTGAACTTGGCTGCAGTCACACAATAGAAGAAGGTGGGTAAATGGGTGGGATAGGTTTTGCTTGCAACAAAGTAGTGTCATGCGCTATTCCCGTTGTAATCCAAAGAACTCGAGTGGGCAATTAAGAACCTTTCACTTACATTCACAAGAGCAAACAGATGCAACTGATGAAGAGAAAATTACTATATGCTGCCGAAGGCTTTCATGGCCGGAATCACTGGGTTGCTGTGAGATTTCCGGGCTGTATGGCCGTATTCCAGAAGCATACCCTCTAGAAGGCAGGATCAGGATCCAAAGTGACCATGGGAGATTAAAAAGATGGATCAAAATTATTATTATTTATTTACTGATGTTTAATTGATTTATGTTACAATTGTTTTTAATTGCCCTATACTTGTCTCGTGATGTTTTGTATCGATGTTGTTCACCGCTTTGAGTCGCCTGAGGGCTGAGAAAAGCGGTATATAAATAAAGTAAATAAATAAATAAGTAAATAAATAATAAATATAAAAAGAATTACATAAGGTAAAGCCATAATGGCCCATCCAGTCCAACCCCATTCTGCCAAGAAGCAGGAATATTGCATTCAAAGCACCCGACAGATGGCCATCCAGCCTCTGTTTAAAAGCCTCCAAAGAAGGAGCCTCCACCACACTCCAGGGCAGAGAGTTCCACTGCTGAACAGCTCTCAGTCAGGAAGTTCTTCCTAATGTTCAAATAGAATCTCCTTTTTTGTAGTTTGAAGCCATTGTTTCGCGTTCGAGTCTCTAGGCCAGCAGAAAACAAGTTTGCTCCCTCCTTCCTATGACTTTCTCTCACATACTTATACATGGCTATCATGTCTCCTCTCAGCCTTCTCTTCTTCAGGCTAAACATGCCCAGCTCTTTAAGCCGCTCCTCATAGGGCTTGTTCTCCAGACCCTTGATCATTTTAGTCGCCTCCTTTGGACACATTCCAGCTTGTCAACATCTCCCTTCAATTGTGGTGCCCAAAATTGGACACAGTATTCCAGATGTGGTCTAACCAAGGCAGAATAGAGGGTAGCATGACTTCCATGGATCTAGACACCATACTCCTATTGATGCAGGCCAAAATCCCATCGGGTTTTTTTTTTTTTTTGCCGCTACATCACATTGTTGGCTCATGTTTAACTTGTTGTCATGTTTAACTCCTGCCATAGATATGGGCAAAATGTCAGGAGGGAATGTTTCTGGAACATGGCCATACAGTCCAGAAAACTCACAGCAACCCAAAATTACTATAGTTAGTTACTATAGTTCTACTTATTTGGGAATATGGCTACAGGCAATATCAAAGTACCTGCATTTCTCTACACTAGAATTCCTTAATAAGGTGAGGGTAAGTAGAATTGATGGGTTCCATTTAGCCATATCCCAATATTTGAATGGAGGAGCTTCTTTAATTTGCAAACTTTGCAACTGATGCTACACACACACATACTTGCCCTATTAAAAAAAACCTGAAGACACAACTAAAGCAGGCACCCAACAAGGCTTCAGTTTGAAATCTGAGGGAGAAAGGAACTTCACCTGAGCCGTTGGACTAATGGATTCAAAGCATCTCTATTAAGTTAGTTGTGCTTTCTTCTTGAACATGTAGGGATACTTAGCTCTTAACTTCTAAATCCTATTATAGTCTTTCAGTCTCATTAAAGCTTCACCCTAGATGGAAAATATATTTACCACTAGCTTGCCTAGATACAATTTTGTATGTCTCAGAAAAATGAACTTGAAATAGTACAACTCAATAACTTTAAAGTTTGTGCAGGTATGGAAGAAAGAAACAAATCCAATGTATCAAATTAGAAAAAGGATACAGGGAGTCTTCAGGAGGCATGTTCACTTCACCATAATAAATATATCTTAGCATAGATTCAAATGCTTGCTTGCTTGGAACCATTTCACCAATGGAAATATTAACCTGTCCATCTTCTGGCATGAAAGAACGAAACATGGCTTCAAAATAACTGGGAAAAAATGCAAACATGGGTTTACTTGGAAGACAGTACTTAGATGGCTGCCTTTCAAAATGGAAGAAAGTTTCAAATGGAGTGCCTCGGGGTTCTGTCGTAGGGCCATTACACACAACACTTTTTACCAATTAGATGATGGGGTGGATGGGTCTTTATCAAGTTTGCAGATGATGCAAAAACTGAGAGGGGCGGATAACACACAGAGAGGGATAGGAAGAGAAATCAAAAGGATATAGATAAAATAGAAAACTGGGCAGAAATTAGACACCAATGTAAAATTCAACACTTAGGTCACAAAATGCAAATGCCAAGATATAGGATGTTAGATACCCAACTTAGCAGTATTACATGTGAAAAGGGCCTAAGGGTTATTGTTGATCATAACTGAACATGAGCCAGGACTGCAATGCCATAGCAATAAAGGCGAATGCTATTTTAGCCTGCATTAACAGAAGCATTATTTCAAAGTCAAGGGAAGTAATAATGCCACTATAATTCTGGACTGGCCAGGCTTATCTGGAGTAGTTTGTTTATTTTTGAAATTCTGAGAGAGATATAGACAAGTTGGAGCAGGTTCAGAGAAGGATAACAAGCATGGTAAGAAGTATGGGAAACAAAACATATGAGGAAAGGTTGAAGAAGCTGGGCATGGACTGCTTGGCGAAGAGAAGACTGGGTGTATGGAATATGATTGCGCTTTTTAAATACCACAGAGGGGAAGAGGCAGGACTGCTCTCTGCTGTTCCAGAGGTAGGACCAGGTCAAATGGTTGTAAGATACATGCAAATAGATTTTGATTAAACATGAGAAGGGACTTCTTGACAGGAAGAGGAATACAGCAAACTGTTAAGAGAGGTGTGGGGGTCTCCTTCTCTGGAGGTCTTCAAAAAGAGGCTGGACATGCTAGGGATATTTCAGCTGAATTGAACAGGGGGTTGGGTTCAATGGCCTATGAAGTCCCTTTGAATTCTATGATTTTATGAAAGACAACATTGGTTGAATCATTAACCTTGGAATTTTGGTTACACAGAAACTCAGACCTTGAAAGAAAAACAAAACTCCCACATCTAGATTTAAGGGAGATTCTGAAAACAGAAGTAATCATGATTTAGATGTTTATTTCTACAAGTGATAAGAAACACAAGGGCAGCAAGGAAGAATCATGTATGCCTGGGGGCCGCTTCCGATCTTACAGAGCCAACACATAAGAGAAAATAATATTCTATCACCCAGAAGGGCATTGTCTGCATTAGTAGACAACATATTTGAGTGGACGTACCTGGAGCGGGCTGCAAGAATAGCTTTATGAGCAGGTCTTGGGTGGCCATCTAAGAGTAGAATAATATCACAAAATTCTAATCCAGCACCTTCCAGATAAGCTTTCATATCCTGAACCAAGGAGGTTCCTAAGGAAGAACATGCAGGGAACAAGAGTAACAAATACTAGCCCAAACAGTAAGAGACTTACACATTTAACTTTAAGTGCATGGCTGGGAACACCTACAAGAACATGGCTGAGTGAGCTCAGTCAACCACAGTCAAATCAGATAATTTGAGTAACGACAAGCAAAAAAGTTACTTGTAATTCTTAAGGCTAGAAAGTTTTTTACACAATAAATCATTTGAGGTCAAATGTATCCTAAAATGTTGCTTATCAGCTAATAGCCATCAAGCATATTACCCGTATTTACTTAAATCTACTACACACCTACATTTTCAAAACCCTGAAACCAAAAAAAGTATTTGCTGCCAAATATAATGTGCAGTGGCAAAAAGTGCACTCTTTGTAATTTGTTCCAAAAAAGTGTGCATTACAGTTGCTATGTGTTTAGAATGCCTTCTTCAAAAATAAGAAGTGTTAGGTAATCAAATCTTCCAGCAACGGAAAAAGTAACAGGTAACACTTAATAGAAAGATGGGAAAGAAAGGAAGACAGGAGGAAATTGGAAGAAAGACGGAAGGAAAAGAAAAAAAGGAGGATGAAAAGGATGAAAGGAGCTGGATGGAGGATACAAAAAAAAGAGAAAGGAAGAAATTGAAAGGGAAGGGAAGGGAACAGGGTGGGATGGAGAGAGGTAGGAAGAAAAAGATGGGAAGAAAGAAATAGAAGGAAAAGGGAAAGAAGGGAGGAAGAAAAAGAAGAAAGGAAGAAAAGAAGAAAAGGCTGAGGGAGAAAGAAAAAAGGTGAGAAGGAAGAAAGAAGAAGATAGAAAATAGAAAGGTAAGAAAAGAGGGAGGGAGGGAGGGAAGAAAAATGGGAAGAAATGGAAGAAGAAAAGAGGGAAGGAAAGTAAGGAAAAAGGAAGAAAGAAAAGGATGAGAGAGGAAAAGAAAAAAGGATGAGAAGGAAGAAAGAAGAAGATGTATGGAAGATAGAAGGTAAGAAAAGAGGAAGGATGGAAAAGAAAGGAGGAAAAGGTAAGAAGAGGGAAAATGGAAGTAAGGAAGGAAAAGAAGAAAGGAAGGAAAAAAGGAAGAAAAGAAAGGAATGAGAGGGAAAAGAGAAGGAAAGAAAGAAAGCAGGAAGAAAGAAAGAAAATAAAGAGGAGGAGGAAAGAAAAGGGGAGAGGAAAGAGATAGAAAGGAAAGAAAAAGGAAGAGGGAGAGATGGATGACAAGAGGGTAGAAGGGAGGAAGGGAAGGGAAAGGAAGGGAGGAAGGAAGGAAGGTAAGATCGAGGGAAGGGTGGAAGGGAGAAAGAAAGAAGGAAGGAAGGAAAGAAAAGAAAGGGAGGAAACGGTGGAAAGGACAGAAAAAAGGTTAAAAAGCGGGGGGGGGGGGGCCTGCCACAAAACAAGGCCGCTGCTTCCTCCTCTGAACCGAGTGCATGCCCCCTTCACCTCTGCTCACCAGAGAAGAGGATTAGGAGGAGGAGAGGAGAGCTCCCTTACCCTCCCCAGTCATTTCTTGCTTTTGCAGCAGGAGTTTCAGCAGGAGACGCAGAGCAAAGCTGCTACTGCTGGACAGCGGCGCCTCCTGCTTCAACTCATGCTGCGAAAGCGAGAAATGACTGGGGAGGGAAAGGAAGCTATTTCTCCTTCGACCTCCAAGTTGGGGGACGAAGGAGAAATTGCTTGGGGAGGGAAAGGGGCACCGTTTTTCCTTCGTCTCTCAGCTGAGAGGCAAAGGAGAAAGGCTTGGGGAGGGAAGCCCCTGCTTCACCATCAGGTGGAGGCTGGTGAGTTCACTAGTCTCACCTGGTGGAGGGGCAAAGACACCTTCAGGAGCACAATTGTAATGCGCCATCAAATCTAATGTGCATCTCAATTTTGGCTAAACAATTAAGCCAAAAAAGATGGACATTAGATTTGAGTAAATACGGTAGATAATGGGCAATGTATTTTGTGTTAAAGCATACATTCAATAATCTAATATAAGTCTATGATACACTGGCTACTGCAGAGCTTAAAGATAGTAAACTTGAAATTCAGACATGAAAACAAAAGACAATTTAGAATGTGAATTTTCAAAATAAAATTTTGTGTGTGACCTTGCTTTTAAAAAAATGTTTAGGAAGCATAAAACTGTTAGAGACTGTGAACCTAATTTATACACAACTACAAGACAATCTCTGTATGAGATACAAAAATATAAATATGTTGCTGCACTGCTAGAGAACAGCATCTTCCTTACCATTAGGGTTTATTATAGCTCCCTTTAACTGAAGTAAGTACACCTTGGACTCAAAAACTGTTTGAAACATTGCAGTCATATGAATAAGAAAATACTGGTTATGTATTTTATTAATATTATTATGCCTTACGATAAAGGTGAAAAGTCAATTGTTAAAATTTTCTCTGATTCATTCTTGCTAGTAAAAAAAACACACATCGATCAGCTAAGAATGGGTAACCGATAAAAGATTTTCTATACACTGACAATGCTAAGCAAAAGCAAAAAACTAGAAACATAAAACAGTTATGAGTTACTATATAGTTCATAGAAAGCTGGACCGAAGTAATCTAGGGAAGAAGGAAGGTTTTTAGATTATATCCCCTCAGATAGCATGCTTTCAGTTTCAGTGAATGGATCATCATCAGTAATGTAAGAGATTAGCATATATACTTGAAAAGATTATTTACAATTGCAGATGGACTACCAGGGAATTTTTCTCTTTCCTCTCATAGTTTTGTCCAAGGATTATCCCCTGTAAATCACTCTGGCTTTAGGTTTAAAGAGGAGATTCTATCAACATTAAACAAAGAGAGACAACTGGAATAAACACATTGGCAGAACCAGTAGCATTCTCTGTTTATGGTATTTCAGCTCATAATTTGTATAAATTGCTGTATCACTCAGTCAATTTACTAGAGCCATCAACAGATGGGAAGATGAATTTATTTCATTCTAAGGTCCTTTAGCAGAATGTAGCATCAGTTTATCTCTCAGGACATCAATAAGAGGAAGCCAACTATCCAATTTTGTTTCCCACAACAATACACTTATGATTTTAGATAAACTGTATATCAAGACTCTGCTTCTTTGAGGATAGTACTCCTTCACTGGACTGTTGTGACAGTTAAACAAGCCATGCAAGCAGTATTAAATTAGAACAACTGAAGGTATTCATGACCAAGATTTGGGTCTTTATTGACATATATGTAAGAACCTTACCAATATCAAGAGGTTGGTCAGAATGTGTTCGAAGTGGAGGCTGCTGCTTTCTGCGTACTATTTCCACTATCAAAGCTGAAGACAGGTGTTCAAACTCTTTCATCATTATCACCTGATTAAAGTGTGATTCTTTCACCACAAAATTCAGACAGTGTTCCTAGGAGAAAACAACATTGTTACTTGAACAAACACCACTACTTTGTAAAATAGTAAGAAAACAAAAACAAAAGATCAATTCAGGGAGTGCTGTGGTTTTTCACTTTGAATATGTTTTAATGGCTTTTAATTGTGGAATTTTTAATACTGTTTATATTTAATTTTGTTTTAATGTTTTTATATGTGTATATTTTAAATTGTATGCAAATGCTTTTCTGTTAAGTCACTTTGAGTCCCCTCTGGGAGAGATAAAGTGAGGTATAAATAAATATAATAAATAAAATTGTATTTGGCATATTTTTTCTACAAGTCTTCCACTGTTTAAATAGAGTTATGTTGTTGTTGTTATTACTATTATTATTATTATTATTATTATTATTATGGTGGTGCAAGTGTTAAACCACTCAGCTGATGAACTTGCTGATCGAAAGGTTGGCAGTTCGAATCTGGGGAGCAGAGCAAGCTCCTGCTATTAGGCCCAGCTTCTGCCAAACTAGCAGTTTGAAAACATGCAAATTTGAGTAGATCAATAGGTACCGTTCTGATGGGAAGGTAACAGTGCTCCATGCAGTCATGCCTGCCACATGACCTTGGTGGTGTCTACAGACAATGCTGGCTTTTCGGCTTAGAAATGGAGATGAGCACTACCCCCCAGAGTCAGACACAACTAGACTTAATGTCAGGGGAAACCTTTACCTTTACTATTATTATTACTACCAGTTTTTTTCTCTTAAAAAGACTCACAGAGGTGAACAGTAGTAAAAACAATGCAATTTAAAATCTAAGCTAGCTAAAGAATTAAGTAAAAGGTAGAAGTTTTGGACATCTTTACATGTATCAACTATTAGTAATAGTATTAAAACAAATCTAGCTTTGTCCACTTTGATTTTGGATGATGTTGTAGGCCTAAAACTCTGTATTGAGGAAAACACTTCATCTTGAACATCTCCTGCTTTAGTTCCTGTGACTCAATCATTTTTAATTCACTGTTATTTCCAATGGCTGCAGTTTTCTCTCCTAGCAATGTACAGAAAGCTCCTGTAAGCACAAACTGCTCAAACTGCACAAATTTGCTGACTCAACAACAGCTGGAACAAATAAAATACTTATGGAAGTAGGACAACTCTATAGATACTTCCCATTATGATTAGTGCAGCTGAAAACCAACAGGCCTAGTACTGTAACTCACTAAAAGGGAGGACATTTCAAAATCACTGATATGGGGTCAGATACTGAAGAATCAGTTTTTCACATGACATCTATGGATTTAATGCTACCTGGAAAAACTGCTTTCAATAAACTTTTGTTCATAGTCTTCCACAAAACTTACCTTGAGCTGATCTAGCTGAAGTTTGTTGGCATTCTCGCACACCACAAGCACATTCTGGAGATCTACTGAGGCCTCAATGTACTGGACACACAGCTGTTCCAACCGTGAAAGCTTGAAATTAAGGGCCAATTTGTAGACATCCATGATTAACAGAACATCTTGCACATGCCCTGAACAATACAAAAATAAATTCATTCTATATGATTGTGAGTTTTAAATGAAATTTCAAATAATTTTATTTGTATTTATTGTTTTAATTGTATAGTCATATATTATTATTTAATTATTTTTAAAACGTTTCTATTTGCTTTGTTTTCAATAGTGATTAGATTGCATGTGGTTGTTAACCGCCCTGAGTTCCCACAGGGAGAAAGGCAGGATAAAAAGAAAAATGACGAGGATGAGGATGATGATAAAGATGGGTAGAAGCTGTAATTACAGGTTGGGAAAGGAGTTAAGATCTTGAGCTTGATATTAACACATTGCTCTCATTGGATTTTAGTAGCCTAATATTCAAATATAATTCAAACACTTGAGCCCCTTAACATAATTGCAGGCAATGAGTATCTGCAAGAAACAACCCAGGAAAAAGCAGAGTAAGAAAATGCATGCTGCTCCTCCAAGAAATAACCTACCTTTCCGTGGATATTTGATTTTGTCTGTGTAGAGGAACTGCATGAGCACCTCAAATGGCTGGGCTTCAGCTTCCCGGATAGTCACTTCCAGCAGGGGTTGCGGGTGGCAGAGTTTGACACTGCTGCCAGCTGCTTCCTTCTGTGGTGACCCTTGTCCTTCTTCATCAAGTTCTTGCTTAGATTTCTAGTATAACAAGAAGGAAGAACCAATTCTACACAATCCTAATCTTGCTATGTATAAAAGTCGGTAAAGATTTTCCCTGACATTAAGTCTAGTCGTATCGGACTCTCGGGATTGGTGCTCATTTCCATTTCTAAGCCGAAGAGCCAGCATTGTCCATAGACGCCTCCTAGGTCATGTGGCCAGCATGACTGCATGGAGCATCATTACTTTCCTGTCAGAGCAGTACCTATTGATCTACTCACATTTGCATGTTTTCGAACTGCTAGGTTGGCAGAAGCTGGGGCTAACAGCGGAGCTCAACCCATTCCTCGGATTTGAACTGCTGCTTTTGGTCAGCAAGTTCAGCAGCTCAGCAGTTTAAACCGCTGCACCACCAAGGGTTCCCATGCTATGTATAGCAGTTTCTAAAATCTATTCCTCCATGCACTCATACAAAAGTATCAAGGGAAATGTTTACACCAACCCTACCTACCTACCTACCTACCTACCTACCTATCTATCTATCTATCTATCTATCTATCTATCTATCTATCTATCTATGGAAAATAATGCTTTCCTCTACATCAGTGGTTCTTAACCAGTGGGTCCCCAGATGTTTTGGCCTTCAACTCCCAGAAATCCTAACAACTGGTAAACTGACTGGAATTTCTGGGAGTTGTAGGCCAAAACACCTGGGGACCTACAGGTTGAGAACCACTGCTCTACATAATGTTTGTTAATAAAACTAAGAATATGCTTTTTCTAGACCAAACGACCCTGTTCAGGCATTCATGTAAAAATCTGGAGAGCTAAATAAGTAGTGACTATTTAAATATCAATTCCCAAATATTTCAGTGCAACTGACCAGAAGTATACAACATGTCGGCTAGGAATCAAATCACAGAATTGTAGGACTTGGCCACGGTAGTCCACGCTCTGGTTACATCCCGTTTAGACTACTGCAACGCTCTCTACGTGGGGTTGCCTTTGAAGACGGCTCGGAAGCTCCAACTAGTCCAACGCTCGGCAGCCATGATTTTAACAGGAGCGGAGCGCAGGGAGCATACAACCCCCCTGTTGCGCCAACTCCACTGGCTGCCGATTTGCTACTGGGCTCAATTCAAAGTGCTGGCGTTGGCCTTTAAAGCCCTAAACGGTTCTGGCCCAAGCTACCTATCCGAACGTATCTCTGCCTATCAGCCCACCAGGACCCTAAGATCTTCTGGGGAGGCCCTGCTCTCTATCCCGCCTGCTTCACAGGTGCGGCTGGCGGGGACGAGAGACAGGGCCTTTTCTGTGGTGGCCCCTCGGCTGTGGAACGCCCTTCCCATGGAGGTAAGATCAGCTCCCTCGCTAATGGTGTTCCGAAGAAGATTAAAAACTTGGATGTTTGAACAGGCATTTGGTTAATCAGTGCAATGAATGTGACGATTACAGGAATGGAAATATGGACGACGAATTTGGATCACGACTCTAGTTATGAGATGCATTGTGTTGTTATTGTTGTGTCAATATTGTATATTGTGCTCTAATGGTTTTAAATTGTATATCGTTGATTGATCTTATCCTTGTTGTAAACCGCGTTGAGTCGCCTGTTAGGCTGAGAAACTGCGGTATACAAGTAAAGCAAATAAATAAATAAATAAATAAATAGGAGTTGGAAGGAATCACAATGTCTCCATGTACTTGTCAGTTTCACTTTGATAAGGCAGGACTGAACTGTTTAGCCAAATGCTGTTACAAAACCTTCTGCAGACCTTTGTCCTCAACACACAAAGCGCTGTGGTGCTGATGAGTGTTTTGGGATGTTTGAGGGCAAGGCTTGGTTCCTCCCCCCCTCCCCTCCACACCATACAGTACATCCTCTGCGAGGACTGGGAGTCTAAAATCCATTTCTCAGCAAATCATACCTGTTTCAACCGTTCTTTTGCTTGCGTAATTTTCTTTCTGAGCCACTTACAGCGAGCAGTGACAATGACAGTATGCCCTCGAACTCTCTCTTCTTTCTGCGCAGAATAGAGAAAAAGAACCTGTATTTTTGGCAGACTGTTTTAAGATTTGATAGATTGTAATCATATAGTTCTTTTCTTTTTGAAAAAAAAAGACAGGTTGCTGAAACAGCAACTGTTGTTCTCTGAGTAGTCCTCCGAGTGCAGTCACTCATGGGTTCAGCATCTGCATAGCAATTACCAAATGTTTAAATATGAAGTAACTTCCTTAAAATCTGAGTTCTGCCTCAGGCATGTTTTTTGTGGGGGACATAATTTATCTTCAAATCGAATGCTTGTGGACGATCGAAATGGTTTAAACAGTGGATTTTAATGTCAAGATAAATTATTTTAATGTTTATGTATGTATATAATCTATTTATGACCGGGAACTGAATGTTTGCCATTTGTATGTTGTGCTCCACCCTGAGTCCCTTTCAGGGTGAGAAGGGTGGGATATAAATGTTTTAAATGAATAAATAAACACTAAACTTTATTTCCTATCTTGTCTTTGTCCCAAATAAGCTCATGGCCATTAGGGATATGGATTTTCATTTTACAGACCATCTTTCTATGCCATTTCACAGCACCACATGTGCTGTGGAATTGTAACAGTGTCATTTTCCTTTCCTTGCATGGTTTTTACCATCTTTTGCTTGACAAAGAAGCTTCTGAACTTCAAAAGGTAATACAATTGATGTAATACAATGGACTTTTTCTTCTAATAAGACCCAAGCAATATTCACAGATGCTCTTTCTGTATTATAGGGAAAGAACCTGAGCGGGAAATTCTTGCCCCTTTGGTTGTGTGAGTAAAGGATGGGAGAGAGACTCTCCAAAACTAGCCTGGGTATGTAGAATCTTCTGGAACAGACCCAGTGTAGAACCAATGCATGAGATTGCAAAGAGGGCATGAAGAGTACCCATGTTATGAAAACAAACAGATCCATAATTGACAACATGAATTTAAAAATGACCTTTAACTGTATTTCTCAATCAATTATGCTGATACCAGTTATTATGTATTTACTGACATCTTTAAAATCCAGTAACTATACATAAAATGAAGAGAAGCGATGACAAAAAATATATAGTTCTCAGTTTCCCATCTTCTAAATTACATCACGGCAACCTGGTCATAAATTCAAAGCTTTCAGTATATTTCTTTACTTGCTTTGTAGTAGATAGATGCAATGAAACATTTCTTTATCAATAGCACTCTTAACATATATACATTTTAAAATAATTGAAAGGGACGAAGAATTATGCTAATAGCATTGTTCTGGATATTATTTCAATAAGATATAAACAAAAACAAAAACATTTTGGAATTTCTTTTCCATCTCTAGTGTGTTCAGCATTTTCATTGGAACGCACCTCTCCAAGAACAAATTCCAGATCACTGAATTGCCTGGTTTCCCAGAGTCTCCCATAGTCATCATGTAAAGTACATTTTGGATAACAAGAAAACTGAAAATAAAAATTAAAGTTTTGTTAAACGCTGGAAAAGAAGTTGACATTAATTGCACTGTTGCATTATATTAACTGCAGGTTTGAAACATCACAGATTCTCTGTATTCAAAATCAATGCTGCCCACTAGCATTTTTGAATTAGTCCTCAGTTAGTTAGGCAGAGCAGGAAACACTTTTATCACATTACCAAGATTTTATGGTCACATAAAAGAATATACTATACTGGTTCCAGATCTCAGAAGCCATCCAACTGCAACAAAAATTAATACAGTACACTGCTAAACACGTCTGTTATCTGCCAATGACCTGGGCAAGCCTAGGACAACCATGTCCCATCTTTTTGGGAAAAAAAAACCTTTCTTTTTTATCTAAGGCTCTGAATACTGGTCAGAGTGTTTTATGCATACTTACACACATTCTTCCTAATTACAAACTCATGCTTGAAAGCAGTTTTTTAAATGGCTTAAAAATAATTGAAAACAGTTGGCCTTGTATTTCCTTCTGCTCACTGCAGTTTAGCATGAAGACAAAAGGAAAAATAAAGCCTTTAAAAAGGAATTAGTCTTTGATTAAACTTGATTACACAAAATGTTTTTACATATTACCTGAAATCTATACATTTCTCCACTCCTGATATTATTATCCACTGTTCCACCAAAAATGTACATTGCATCACAAATGACAGCTGCAGCATGGAACAATCTTCCAGTTGGCAACTAGAAGGAATGAGAGAAACTGCATAGGTATTGTAGCTATCACACATATGAAAGAATGTCTCCTTCCTTCCTTTGATTCTTGCTGTCACATGACATGGATTACGTCTCTGCACAATCCAGAGAATGACATGCAGGGCAGAAAAGATCAATCTACAAATACCTTTTTCCTTACAATACAAAAGATAAAAGAGCTTTATCTCCATCACATCTGAGCAAGTTCTCTATGACTAAAACCCAAAACGGAACAGTGATCTCACCTCATCCCCTTCTATTAAGACAACAACAACAAAGAAATAACAAAACATAAAAATCACTAAAGTCCAGTAGGAAATAATGGTGCGGCCCGTGCATCCCACTTACAAGTACTTCAGTGTCTAAGTGATACTTGAACGGTTAAAAAAGTAATCAAAAACTAAACTTTTTTACCTCACTATCGGGACTTGCATGGATGACTTCCCAGGTCTGAGAATCCACATCATAACAGTGAAGCTCATTAGGCAATGTGTTGTCTGCAGCACCGCCAAACACGTAGAGATGGCGATCAAAGGCAACCATTGTGTGGCCATATCTTCTTTGGGGAGGAGGAGGAGAGCCTCGTAGCAAGTGCTCAGTAGGAATTCTTGTCCAGCTGATATTAGAAAATAAAGGCAAGTTACAGAATGATTATTTACTCTATAACCCATCTTTCTCCAGGGATAAAACCCACGGTAATTTTCAGTATCTCAATCCTTAGAGAAAGGTTGAATCAAATATATTTCACTGTTTAATCTTTGCATTTCTGTTCAGTCACTGCAGACTGCAATCCAACTGGTTATGCATCATTTCTGGCTAACATTTTCCTTTCTTTGTAATAACTGCTTCACAAATTTTGCCTACAAGATCATGAATATTTAGACTTCAACTCTAAGCAGAATTAGGAAGTAATTCCCAATAAATGCAACAGGACTTATATCTGACAAACTATGTATAAGATGACGCTGTCTTCTTTGTAGCTTCTCTTACACGGGGGTTGTTTGCAAGCCACTAAAACATATTACATTGTTGGAGAAAGAAATTAATAACTAGATGTATTAAGTGTGCATAGTGTAAATGAGATGAATTACACATGCCTACAAAAGGGGAGGGGGGAAGAAGGGCTCAATTCATGGTATTTGGGTCCTGAGTGGAGAAGTGCTATACTTGACGAAGGCTTTCATGGCCGGAATCACTGGGTTGCTGTGAGTTTTCCAGGCAATATGGCCATGTTCCAGAAGCATTCTCTCCTGATGTTTTGCCCACCACTTCTTTGGTTTAGTTAGTCTGCAGTGCCTTACATATTCCTTCATTCGTACTTGGGCGCTGAGTTTAGTGGTCCCTATATAGACTTGTCCACAGCTGCATGGTATACGGTAGACTCTGACTTCCAGAAACGTCAGTCATAGCAGAGTACTTGATGAACTAACCTGGACATAGCATATTATTTGAGAACACAGAAATGCTGGACCACTCTAACAACCACTATATCGGGCTACACAAAGAAGCCATTGAAATCCACAAGCATGTGGACAATTACAACAGAAAAGAGGAAACCATTAAAATTAACATAATCTGGCTACCAGTATTTAAAAAAACTCTAAAATTAGGACAGTAAATAAAGAACAACACTCTGAAAACAAGGGAATTCCAGACAAGAAACAATCAGGAGTAGCTAACACCTCCCAACAAAGGATTCCACTGGGCAGGAAGCAGCCAGGCCTTGAAACTGTAAGGCTTTGCAATACTAGTCAAGGTGATTAATTGCAACATCCACACCTGCCTCCAACAGACAAGAGTTCTTTCTCCCACCCTGTACCTTCAACAAATATATAAACCTCCCTTGTCTAGTTTCCAAAATCCCTCACAACCTTTGTGGATGCCTTATTTATTTATTTACTTCCTATATTTATACCCCGCCCTTCTCACTCCCCCGGGGGGGGGGGGCTCAGGGCGGCCTCACAGAAGCACTATAGGATGCCAGCATCATAAAACATTCAACAATACATTAAAATATTAAAACAATCATTAAAACAATAGATTAAAACATTCCTATTAAAAATCAGAATCCAAAATCCAAGTCCAGGTCAATTCATTGTCACAAGTTGCTTAAGTCTTCTTTCACTTGCTGCCATTCAGTGGTCGAAACGTCAGGAGAGAATGCTTCTGGAACATGGACATACAGTCTGGACAACTCACAGCAACCCAAGTGCTATAGTATTTCAGCTTTCTGGCTCCAACTCTTAGAAAGATCCGCCAATAGCATGAGATATTATTTATTAGTAACATCATACAGGAGACTAAAACTGTCCAAAGGAAATATCTTGGGTCTGAATTACATTGAGGAGAATTCAAGGGAGCTCTGGTCTTCAGATCTAATATTAACAGGTGTACATCACTGCATCAACAAAACCTTACACCACAAAATCATCATCACATAAAAGTACCACAGGCTTAGGTAATGCTTTGAAAATGGCTCTGGGTTTGTAATGTTTCTATCATATGAGGATTAGATCCTAAAGAACATAAAAATATTAATATAAATAATTTTAAAAGGATTGTCAACAGAAGGATGGTCATCAGGTAACATAGAAACTGTACATGGAATGGGTGCACTCTGCATTAATGGAGGGACCATTCTCAACACTGAAATAAAAATATCTCCAAAAAATTAATGTACAGTATATGGGTAGCCAATAGATGTAGTCTAATAAGAATTTTACCACAGCTTGTGCCCCCTCTTCCTAGTTTTATTACTATTATGATTTTCTCTACAGGTCTTTTCCATAATAGGTAATTATTATTGTGGAAGCAACAGTAAGTAACTCAACTATTTATATCCTGAAAAATGTTTTTTTAGGATCATAGAATCATAAAATTGGAAGAGACCACAAAGGCTATCCAGTCCAACCCTCTGCCATGCAGGAAAACACAATCAAAGCACCCCTGACAGATGGTCATACAACCTATGCTTGACAATCATTCAGTGCTGCTTAGTTATTTTTCATACACACGTTTTTTCCTTGAATTCAAACTGAAAAAGATTATTGGTGATCTTTGCTCCACTCTGGCCTGAAAAAACAAACATCTTCTCTTTACAAACAGCTACAGGAAAATTGCAACACGAAGGAGGAATCTCGCCAGTTTGTTTAATCTGAAAAATAGCAACACAAAATAAATTGCTTGTGCGAATGTATACATGGTAGAACAACTGTCAATTTAACATCTGAATCACAACCTATCCTGCTTATATTGTCACAATACAAAGATTAACAAACCATGAAGTCAGTAATGTGCCAAAAATGTATCCAATCCCAAGATCTTATTAGCAACTTGCTGCAAACCTTGTATACATCTACCCAGACATAAATCCTATTAAATTTAATGAGACTAACTCCCAGATAAATAAATGGATATAGATACTTATAGGCTGTCTTAGGTACTTAAGGTACCATCTATCATGCAATATAAAGCAAGGATCTAAAGAAAAACACTAGTACATGTTAAAAAAAGAAAGGATGGGCTCTGAGCTTATTTTACCATGTATCAGTGTCACAAGAACAGCTGATCTTTAGTTACTTCAAAAGCACTTTGTAATTAGTTCAATAAAACGAAATAAAACTTTTTAAAAACCATCTCCAATAAAGGAGTTAAAACTCATGCTTGGAATAAAATACATCACATTGAGTAATTTTTTTTATTTCAATTAGCATTCCACTGCACTGAGAGTTAGCAGTTGGCGCAGAGTTGTGGTTAAGGTTAATGGGGGTCATTTAATGCACACTTTGGAGTTTCTGCACTCAACATTACAAATGATGTGCTTTATTTTACAAAAAAATGTGTGCCAATAATATTTTTAGCAGGTTCACTACTTTTTTTCAATGCTACAATAAATTGTATCAAACTCCAGGCTGTTATTCCCAGTTAAGCGTGTTACACAATTATGGTAATTCCACTATAACCACCATGGCAGTATCCTGGGATTTGTATTCCAATGAGCCCCTGGAGCAAGCCAAATGAGAATGCTAAATATGCCTCTCCAAACTTCAAATCCCAGGTTTCCAAAGCATGGAATCAGGCAACTGAAGTGGAATCTCAGCGCTACGATTATGTACCATGACACGACCCAAGGTGAATAAATGGGACTTGATTACCAACACTTAAGGTAAATTCTACTGAATTAATTGGGATTAATTGAATTTAGCATCACATTACTGAGTTCCAAATGCATCTCAACTGAAAATATGATCTATTGGTGTATTTCTTCTGTTACATCCACAAACTATAACATTCTCTAGTGGAGGATTTGGAGAGAAGGGTCAGTAATAATCCAAAACCAATTTATCTAAAAATAAAATCCAGATAGTGCACAATTCACTCACTCAAGACACATCTACAAGTCTCAAACACTCTCCAAATTTCAGGATTCCCCCTTACCTACTTTATCATCTAGATACAGTCTAAATACACAAAATATTATTGCAATCCTATAAACACCTATCTAGGATCAAGCACTGTTACTCATATGAATTTCTGAGGAAATATGCACAGGATTACGTTGCATGAGTATCATCATCATCATCATCATCATCTTTTGTTGGCATGACATCTCCTCAAAAACATTTACACAGAATTTCTTGTTTTATAAATTGAAATTAGTTAAACTTCACTTTATTTAACAACAATGAGTCTTGGGGCACATTAAAAACTGACAAGCTTATTGCAGAAAATGCTTTGATGGAGCCAGTCCACATTTTGACACAATTACATTTTTTAAAACCAGCAATAACGAAAGTATAAAAAGTCACTAAATTGAAAGGTTTTAATTTTTAAAAAATATTCACTCCTCTTACCTCTTCCCAACAAGTTAGATCTCTGTCTTGTAAGTTAATGGTCCACATGTCATTTAACCTGTATTGATAGGAAAAGTTGTTTTAAAATATTTTTAAAATGTATACTAGATAACCCTTACCCTCCATTTTGCAGAACATCAAACCTTAATGATATACTGAGAGTTGCAATAAGACCTAATTGTTTGCAGCTTATTGAGCAACTGGATTTTATATGAACCCACATAAATCCAAATTGGTTTAAAGTTTTGAATTATTACTTTATTAATAGAGGCTTGTTTTAATTGAAGATGCATCATGTATCTCAAATGTAGCTGTAATATCACATGAATTATTATGAGCAAAACCGTTATAAAAAGATCGTTACATACCTTGCATTCCCATCATATCCCGCAAAAATCCATAGTTTATCACTATAGACGGTTGCACCATGAGCTGACCGGGCCACAGGCAATCTGAAACAAAAACAGGTAAAAAGAGATGATCTACTACACAAACCAAATATATGTCTTGTTTCCTAGAGAGCATATAAATACTATATAAATCCTAAGTACTTCTTGGGTGGGTTTGCTTTCATCTTATTTTGCTTTCATTTTGAGAACATGGCATAAGAATTGCTTACTTGATCAGTGAAAAAAGGCTGAACCTAAAGTTTATGGAGATCACATTATTAGTATGGGAACCTAAAACTGCAGGCTATTTCTCAGAGGGAGAAATTCAAAGAGTGTCCTAATGCAAGACCTATTTGCTGATGCAACTGTGGTTCACTGTTATAATTAGATGCTAGACCGAAAACAAAAATCAGCTAGATTGTTGTTTTTGAATCTGCACATTCAGATATTTATAGATCTACTATTATTATATCATTAATTTGAAAGATAAATGTTCATTACTGAAGGGTAGGTTAATTATTTCTTAGTTAAGTTTTTATAAAATCAGTTAATGCACGGACAACAGAAAATCTGACTGTAAAACTACTGCTGCCTGAATCCATTTCTGGTTTAAAGATTTACACATATGCATGGGTTGGGTTGTAGATTTTTCGCGCTATATGGTCATGTTCTAGAAGCATTATCTCCTGATGTTTCACCTGCATCTATGGCAAGCATCCTCAGAGATTGTGAGGTCTGTTGGAAACTAGGAAAATTGGAATTCTATATCCACACATATACAAACCCAATTTTCCTAATTTCCAACAGACCTCACAACCCCTGAGGAAACTTGCCATAGATGCAGGCGAAACATCAGGAGAGAATGCTTCTAGAACATGGCCATATAGCCCAAAAAGCCTACCACAATCCAGTGATTCCAGCCATGAAAGCCTTCGACAATACATTATGCCTAGGTTCTTACCTTCCTTCAATCTTCCACTCAGTCCACTGACCTGTTGCAAGCTTATATTCAAAAAGATCGTTTTTATTCTTCAAGTTGGAATTGGAATAGATATCTCCAGTATAGCCACCTAGATAACAACATTATTATGGGGAATAATGTAAATTATTTCAAAGTGAAAATATAAGTTTCTAACATAAAGCAATAAAATATATTAAACAAGAAATTCAGCTGATGTGCAGAACTGAGGTGCAGAGAACAGAAGCCCCAAATACACTGAATTCCAGAATGAAAACACTTCTAGCCAGAAATACAAATTATACCTGTTTTATACACATTTTATTCCATAGATAAATTATATTTATTTTTATTAGATTAAGCACAGCATTTTTATGTACAGTTTGACTCCTGTATCGACAGTGGATATATTCCAGAGCTTTGTATGGATGTATGGAACCAAGATAATAGTGAACCCAATTGAAATTAAGGATCACTGGTCAAGAATATGGCAGAGTTGAACTGGAGGACCTGTCCTAGACAATGCCTAGACAAGACACTGCTGGTACTGGTCCCACAGATATAGGGGTTGTACTTCATGAGAGCATGGTGCAGGAGAAGAAACAGATAGCATGTTTTGAAAGTGAAAACGGTGGGTTCCTTACTGCTTCACTGGGATGGCAGATTGGCACTATAACACTTTAGGAATTGTACAAAGATATAAAGGTTGATCATAGGCTGAATAAAAGGAAGAGTTTGGATTGTAGTATGACTGGCAGCTACTGCTCAAAACTGTTGTTCAGCACTAAGGGATTAAACTGACAAAGGCAATGATGATGAAGCTCAGAATAGCCTCTATAATTGAGAATATTTGTTGATTCCAAAACAACCAAACATACATTTAGCTGGTTAATAATAATAATCAAACTTTATTTTTAACCGACCCTCTCTCCCCAAAGGGACTAAGGGTGGTTAAGGGTTTAATTGAGGTTTTAAAGGAACACTGCTTGTTGTGTATGGCTTTGCGACCATTACAGAATCCAGCTAAACACTCCTCTACAGAGCTAGCTAGGGAGGAAGTAGATTTATGATTTTCACATCATTTATTCCAGCAACTAGAAACCACATCCACCAGGGACAGGAAAATGGATTGCTCCTCCACATTTGTCTTAACTGACTGTAGATGTACCCAGAGCATTCATTTCTATGCACCCAAAGTTTACACTCACATCCAAATTAATTCAATGCCCCCAAATCATGTTGGCTCTTACTATAACACAGCATAATTACTTTCTTCCACTGATGTTTTTTGTTTTTCATTACAAAGCAACCTTAATTCCTTGAGTTGTCCTATTAACTACTAGTAATTATCTGCTTTAGCTATGATGCCACAAGCACTTTGTGACTTCTGTGAAGTACTTTTGTTTTAAATTTTTTCTATGGATTCCTTCCACAAATTCTGCAAAACTTCAACGTTGTATTTTCCTGGACAATTTGTTGATTTTAAATGAGGTAACTTACCAAATACAAACATGCTGCTTCCATAGACTACAGCTGAGTGGTGATATCTAGGTGCTGGTGGGGTTCCTGTGGTAAAAGCCCTGTGTGATCCAACAAGTCGCAGCACAACATACAAAGAACCAAAATAAAGCGCTCTCATGAAAACAGCATTATTTTTATCTTAAAATACATTTAAATATCAATTCAGTGGGTCCTCTGTATCCACTGGGGTTTGGTTCCAAGATCTCTTGTGGATATAAAATTCTATAAATGCTCCAGTTCATATTGGCACAGTAAAATGATGTCTGTTAGATAAGATGGCAAACAACTCAAATGAGTGCCAGAGACAGCCTGTGGATTATGCCTAGCACACAGAAAACCCAAGGTTTGGTTTTAGGATTCTTTCTCCTAAATATTTTTGAGCCATGGGAGGTTGAATCCACAGAAAAAGAAACAATGGATACAGAGAGCCAATGGTACACTGCTGCAGACACTTTGGTTGGGAGACTGTGTCATCAATGCAGGAGGCCAACGAAGCTTCACTATCATAACTATATCTAACAGTGTCACTCCCACAAAACCTGCATGACCACACCCCAACCAAAGTAGTTCTGAAACACTGGAGACTGGGTGCTGGGCAATAACATCTGGAGCATTCTGCCAGATGTGTGAAAAATAAAGAACAGCAGCTGGATTAACCATTGAAAAAAACAGCTTTCCTGAAACAACTGCCCTTCTCAATCTGTCCTACAAACGAGAGCGCAGCAGACATAATTTCCCAGTGCCTTGAAAACGTTTTGTTTGGTGAGTTGCCAGGCTGCAAAGGTAGATTTTGGGGATATGTTGGTCATTAATGAGTATAAGCAGCAATCCCCAGCAGTTTCGAGATTATAAATCCAACTAACCTGATACTGAACTACTATAGTAGTAGGCACAAGATATATGGAAATCTACTGGTGGATGTTTTTATTACGAGTGTAGGTCAATTGGTTTTAGATTTCTAAGCATTTGATTCCTATCGATGTAGTGGCAGCTACACAAGGCTTTTGGGAATAGGTAAGTTGTAAATTAACTAATGAGAGGGACGATTAGGAACAGCTTTTTATGCAAAAGAATTACAAGTTAATTCTGGTATTAGAAACAACAATCTAGGCTGAGCATGTGTACATAGCAGAAATGAAAATCATGTGGCTTTCCACAATTCATACTTTGATACTTATATAGAACTCTTCATTTCAGATGAGTAAAAAACGTATAAAACATATTAAAAACATTAAAAATATGGTTGTACCTGCACCAAGAACAGTCCTTCACATCAAATCTCAACAGGTCATTCAACATAGTTTTTCTTTAGAATAAGAGAGAAAAATAGAAAAAGTTATTTTCGGGTACTATAAAACATTACCTCATACTATAATAATAATAATAATAAATAATAATAATAATAATAATTGCAGCACTTGTACCTATGTATATCTATTAACAATTGTACTGATCATAACAGGCTAAATATGTATGTGTTGATATAATGCCAGCAGTATCTATCATCATTTATATTTAATACTAGCCGTCCCCTGTCACACGTTGCTGTCGCCCAGTCTGCTGATCTGGAAAATAAAGTATTCAGAAAGTGTTGGTTTCTAATATATGTAATTGATTTATGCTTATGGGTAAACAGTATTTATTGTTGTTTCTTTGTCAGTGTGGATGTGAAGATTGTCTGATTTGCCTACTCTGGAACATGCAACATAACATTGTCCTTCTTTAGGGGTCCCTTTCAAATCTTTAATACTATAAGTGTGTGTGTGTGAATCATATATATGTATTTATATCTATAGCTGGATGGCTTTATATCAGGGGGGCCTTGATTATGTTTCCTTGTCCTGGTGAAGGGAGTTGGACTGGATGGCCTTAAGTATTTTCTGTTGGTCATGGGGGGGTCTGTGTGGGAATTTTGCCCCATTACTGTCTGTCTCCTGAGGAGAAATTAAAAGGGTATACTATCTGCAAGGCGACTCTATGAATACCTGACACTGTGGATAGCAGAGATCCAGAATTTGAAAACATTTCCCATCAGCCAGTCCTATGGGCTGCTACAGAGGTGCCATAGGAAGCAACCAATAGGTGGACTCCCAGTGGTGCTGTGGGTTAAACTCTTGTACCAGCAGGACTGAAGACCGACAGGTTGCAGGTTCGAATCCAGGGAGAGCGTGGATGAGCTCCCTCTATCAGCTCCAGCTCTCCATGCGTTCCAGCTTTCCTATCCGAACTACCTCTCCTTATGAGCCATATAGGACTTTAAGATCATCTGAGGAGGCCCTGCTCTCAATCCCACCTTCCTCGCATATGAGTTTGGCAGGGATGGGAGACAGAGCCTTCTCAGTGGTGGACCCTTGGCTATGGAACGCCCTCCCCAGGGATATAAGATTGGCTCCCTCCCTTCTAACATTCTGCAAAATGATTAAGACCTTGATCTTTTAAGCAAACTTTTTCTACTGGAGCATAATTAGACGTAAACAAATATATGGAATGACTGACAATTCAACCGGACAATGATTTTAGTAAGGAGATGCCGAGGATCTTGTTTTGACAGATATATTGCTTTTTATATTACATTTTAAAGGTTGAATTGTTTTTATAATGGTTTTAACTGTATTTTGATATTTGTTATGGCATCAAATCGCTGCCGACTATGAACCACCTTGAGTCACCTCTGGCTGAGAAAGGTGATATACAAATGCGGTAAATAAATAAATGCGGGGACACGAGAGAAGCCTCCCACAAGGATGATAAAACATCAAAACATCCGGGCGTCTCTTGGGCAACATCCTTGCAGGCGGCCAATTCTCAAACAACAGAAGCGACTTGCAGTTTCTCAAGTCGCTCCTGACATGGAAATAGCAAAACAGGCATGGGCAAACTCTGGCCCTTCCTCCTGGTGTTTTGGACTTCAACTCCCACAATTCCTAACAGCCTCAAGCCCCTAAGGGCCAAAACTAACAAAATGAGAGATGGGCCAAAACTAACAAAATGAAGTTCAACAGTGACAAATGCAAGATACTCCACTTTGGCAGGAAAACGAAATGCAAAGATACAGAATGGGGGATGCCTGGCTCGAGAGCAGTACGTGTGAAAAAGATCTTGGAGTCCTCGTGGACAACAAGTTAAACATGAGCCAACAATGTGATGTGGCGGCAAAAAAAGCCAATGGGATTTTGGCCTGCATCATAGGAGCATAGTGTCTAGATCTAGGGAAGTAATGCTACCCCTCTATTCTGCTTTGGTTAGACCACACCTGGAATATTGTGTCCAATTCTGGGCACCACAATTCAAGAGAGATATTGACAAGCTGGAATGTGTCCAGAGGAGAGCGACTAACATGATAAAAGGTCTGGAGAACAAGCCCTATGAGGAGCGGCTTAAGGAGCTGGGCATGTTTAGCCTGAAGAAGAGAAGGCTGAGAGGAGATATGATAGCCATGTATAAATATGTGAGAGGAAGCCACAGGGAGGAGGGAGCAAGCTTGTTTTCTGCTTCCCTGGAGACTAGGACGCGGAACAATGGCTTCAAAATACAAGAGAGGAGATTCCATCTGAACATGAGGAAGAACTTCCTGACTGTGAGAGCCGTTCAGCAGTGGAACTCTCTGCCCCGGAGTGTGGTGGAGGCTCCTTCTTTGGAAGCTTTTAAACAGAGGCTGGATGGCCATCTGTCAGGGGTGATTTGAATGCAATTTATCCTGCTTCTTGGCAGGGGGTTGGACTGGATGGCCCATGAGGTCTCTTCCAACTCTTTGATTCTATGATTCTAATTGTGGGAGTTGACGTCCAAAACACCAGGAGGAAGGGACGAAGTTTGCCCATGCCTGATCTACACTGTAGTATTGATGCAGTTTGATCCCCTTTAGCTGCCATGGCTCCATGACAGCTGCAGCTGGACCAGAGGCTGGCCTCACCCGTTATCTCCGCCGAAGACGTAGATTGCATCCCGATAGGCGACCACGGTGTGTTTGCTGCGGCTGAAAGGAGAAGGAGGAGGAGAGAGAGGGCCTTGACTGCTCGCCCGCCTTGTGAGTGAGGCCTTTCCCCTCGGCCAGGCCTCCCTCTCCGCCGCCCTCCTTCCTCCTTCCTCCTCCTTACCGGGCCCCCACAAACTCGTCGCAGGGCGGGAGGCGGCGCCAGCGGTGCACCGTCTCGAAGGGCCCGAAGTTCAGCGTCAGGTACTCAACGCTGTCCGAGCAGCTGTGGTCGAAGTCCACGCTGGGCGCCACTTTGGAGCGGCCGCCTGCCGCCTCAGAATCCTCCATGGCGCTCCCGACTACCACTCCCGGCATCCCCCGCGGCCTCCCGCCAATCAGACAACACGCTTGACTGGACGTCAGACTACACTCCCCAGAAGGCCCACCGTCAAGCATGACGTCAAATCAGCGCGACGGCACACTTCCCTGGAAGTTGTTATTGTTTCCCTGGGAACCGCTTGATAGAGGCTGGGTGCCTCTTCTCCGAAATGCTTGGTTTTGAATTACCTTTTATTCCCTCGGATTTTGGAATACCTGAGTGCAGAAGAATATATATTTCATGGAGAAGGGACCCAAGTCTAAATACAGATTTCACTCATGTACATTGTCACACATGGCCTGAAGGTAATTTTGTCCCATATTTATAATGTAGTAGCCGCCCCCTGCCACGCGTTGCTCTGGCCCACATGGGGGTTCTGTGTGGGAGGTTTGGCCCAATTCTATCGTTGGTGGGATTCAGAATGCTCCGTGATTGTAGGTGAACTATAAATCCCAGCAACTGCAACTCCCGAATGTCAAGATTCTATTTTCCCCAAACTCCACCAGTGTTCACATTTGGGCATATTGAGTATTCGTGTAGAGTTTGGTCCAGATCCATTATTGTTTGAGTCCACAGTGATCTCTGGATGTAGGTGAACTACAACTCCAAAACCAAAGGACACTGCCCACAAACCCTTCCAGTATTTTCTGCTTATCATGGGAGAACTGTGTGCCAAGTTTGGTTCAATTCCATCGTTGGTGGGGTTCAGAATGCTCTTTGATTGTAGGTGAACTATAAATCCCAGAAACTACAACTCCCAAATGATAAAATCCATTTTTTTTAGTGAAGGACATACATTGGGTTGTTAGGTGTATTGTGTCCAAATCTGGTGTCAATTTGTCCAGTGGTTTTTGAGTTATGTTAACCCCACAAACGAATATTACATTTATATATATATATATATAGATTTGTTTATTTACTTTGTATTATATCCCGCCCTCTCTCCCTCATTGAGCGACTTAGAGCAGATAACACAGGCATGGGCAAACTTTTTGACGTCAACTCCCACAATTTCTAACAGCTGGTGGACAATTTCAACAGAAAGGAAGAAACCATGAAAATGAACCAAATCTGGCTACCAGTATTTTAAAAAAATCAAAACAGTAAATAAAGAGCAACACTCAAAAACAGGGGAATTCCAGACAATAAACAATCAGGGCCAGCTAATCACCTCCCAACAAAGGATTTTCCCCAGACAGGAAGCAGCCAGATTTTGAAGCTGCAAGGCCATTAAATGCTAATCAAGGTGGCCAATTGCAACATTCACATCTGCCTCAAACAGACAAGAGTTCTTTCTCCCCACCCTGGACATTCCACAGATATACCGAGTGAGGCAGCATTACTTCCTTTTTTTCAAAACTTAATGAAACCCATTGTATGAATCAGAATTTTTTTTAATAATGTAGTTAATAATGCATACCTAAAGTTTTGTTTTGCATAGTTTTGAAGATCAAATTAGGTAGGTGACGTCCCCCATTCTCCATACACTGAGTAAACCGATTTCTGGCGTTTGTCATGACTCTTGCCAGCATAGCAGGCGTTATGTTGGCAATTTCTTCCTGGATTTTGGTCTCCAAATCTTCTAGGGTCCTTGGACAGTTCACATAAACACAGGATTTCAAAAACCCCATAGAAAAAAATCACAAGGGGCCAAATCTGTAGAGCGGGCTGGCCACTCCAAATCCGCTTGAAAAGTAGGCCTCCATGGCAAAAGCACGCTCCTCACTGTTCCAACGCATGATGGCGACTGAACTGTGCCAGGATAAAACTTCATACTCCCACCTCTCGAACGAGACCACTAGCGCTCCGCTACATCTTCAACCGACTGAATGACGCGCATTTTTAAAAAGGAAGTTATGCTGCCTCACCCAGTATAAACCTCATTTTCCTAGGTTCCAACAGACCTCGCAACCTCTGAGGATGCCTGCTATAGATGTGGGTGAGACGTCAGGAGACGTTTGGAACATGGCCATACAGCCCAGAAAACTTATAGCAACCCAGCCAGTAGGCTGTTTGGAATTGTGGGAGTTGAGTCCAAAACACCTGGAGGGAGGGCCGAAGTTTGCCAATTCCTGGGCAAACATATTCAATACCCTTCAACAGTCATTTTGTTTGGGAAACAAAGTTTCTCAAATGACCCTTAGAAAACAAAAGTCATTTAACTTATGGTGACCCTGAAGCAGAACTTTCCAAGCATGTCATGTTGGTGTCACATTTTTAAAATCATGTATCAGTTCACAACACAGTAATTCAATTTTACTAGCAAACTGGCAATTAACCAACCCCTTATAATGAAATTTGTTTATTATATGTTTGCACACAACACATAATAATGAAAGGTATGGGCACACAACACAGGAGATGGCCTTTTCAGTGTCTGCTCCCAGGCTGTGGAATTCCCTCCCAAGAAAAACCAGAATGCCTTCTGCAAGCAGGTCAAGAGCTTCCTTTGCCAACAGCTTTTAAGGAAAGGTAATATAAATTTTAAAGGCCATTTAATGTATTTAATGTATTTGCTGTATTTTAATTGTTTTAAGGTACATGTTTCCCCTGACATTAAGTCCAGTCTTGTCTGACTCTGGGGGTTGGTGCTCATCTCAGTTTCTAAGCTGAAGAGCTGGCATTGTCCATGGAAACCTCCAAGGTCATGTGGCCAGCATGATTACATGGAGCAGCGTTATTCTGTTTTACCACACTGTTATTCATTTTTTAACTGTTGTATTTTTCTACACAAAGCATGTGAGTTGGACCAGGAGTGACTGGTCTTTGTGGTCTCCACATGACACATAAAGTCCATTCACCTTAATGCGGCCTTGTCCCGCCTTCCAAAAAGTTGCAGGATGCTTCATGGAAGCTCTATGGGCCAGTGTAAACAGTTGGGGCACTTCCTATTTGAATGTGTCTATGGCTGTTCACATTACCATCCCACTTTCCTCTGGCTGGGGAGTCGCAGGGACAGGAGATGGCAATTACCTTCCCTTGCCATTATGGCCTTTGCAGTGGCTTCTGGACACAAAAATGATATTTGGTACTCCGCACCTGGAACAATGATGTGATTGGAGAATGGAGGGAGGAAAAGAGGGAGCGGAGTGGTGAACACTGCCATTTTTATGTTCTGTGATTGCTATTAAGACCAGATCAACAAGAGTAAGGTAAGAGTGGCAGTCTGGTGGCATTGAACCAGTTCCAGCACCACTAGGACATGTGGATGCCATTCAGCCACCAGCTTGTGGCTGCACGATGCAGAGACTTGTCAGTTCCTCAACTTGCTGAATGGCTGTTTGTGCGGACTCTGGTACCCCACTTCTGAGCAGCGGCACCATTTGCGGCATGTGTAGATGGCTGCCTATTGTGCCTTGCCAATGTTGAAGAAAGAAACCCTGTGACACAATACTGTAGATGACATTTTATTATAGTTTAATGAGCTAGGTCAAATTTAGTCATACTTACAGTACAGCCACTGTAGTCAATGAAACTGTTATTGATTTCAGCGAGTCTAAACTTACAACTAAGTGTAGACCCCAATAAAATGATTTCAGCAAATTCTTGTGAGAATAGTAGGCGGTCGGAAACATTAATTATTATCATGCTGTACTGCAGGTGACACATCAAGAGTACAAAAAAGTTTCTAGCAAAACTTTGGCATTATTAACAAGATATTCAGGACTTTTTGATTAAAAAATTAGACTAGATAGAGATTAGAGACGTCTGTGACTTTCCAAAAGTTAACGCAACAAATGGTGAGGGGTATTGCAATTCAACTTTTGTAGAACTTGGAAGGAAATACCTGGCCATTGCTGGAAATTGAAGTCTTAACTGCATTATTTTTAAAATAAACTCTTGCACATCTTGAACATGGCTTGGCTCCAAATTCTTCTAAAATGTTTAGTTAGTATAGAATCTTAGAGTTGGAAGGGACCCCATGGGACATCCAGTCCAACCCCCTGCCAAAAAGCAGGAAAATCGCATTCAAAGCAGTAGCTCTCAAACTTATAGCAATGGCTTCCCCAGGTATTGTTCTTCATTTGTTCAGTCGTTTCCGACTCTTTGTGACCTCATGGACCAGCCCACACCAGCTGGGAGTGGTGTTGGCCATCACCACTCCCAGCTCCTTCAAGGTCGATCCAGTCACTTCAAGGATCCCATCCATCCATCTTGCCCTTGGTCGGCCCCTCTTCCCTTTTCCTTCCATTTTCCCCAGCATAATTGTCTTCTCTAAGCTTTCCTTTCTTCTCATGATGTGGCCAAAGTACTTCATCTTTGCCTCTAAAATGAGCCAGGGCTTATTTCCTGAAGTATGGACTGGTTGGATCTTCTCGCTGTCCAAGGCACTCTCAGAACTTTCCTCCAGCACCACAGTTCAAAAGCATCTATCTTCCTTCGCTCAGGCTTCCCTATGGTCCAGCTCTCACATCCGTAGGTGACGATGGGGAATATCATTGCTTTAACTATGCAGCTCTTTGTTGCCAGTGTGATGTCTCTACTCTTCACTGTTTTATCGAGATTGGACATTGCCCTCCTCCCAAGAAGTAAGCATCTCCCGATTTCCTGGCCGCAGTCTGCATCTGCAGTAATCTTTGCACCTAGAAATACAAAGTTTGTCACTGCCTCCATGTTTTCTCCCTCTATTTCCCAGTTGTCAATCATTCTTGTCATAATCTTGGTTTTTTTGCGCTTTCTTCTTTCACCTTGATTAGAAGGCTCCCCAGCTCCTCCTCACTTTCGGCCATCAAAGCGGTGTCATCACCACTTTGTATTGCATAAACTATAAATTCTGATTTCTGAGGATCTCTTCCATTGTTTTTATTGTATTAGTATTTCTGCAGATTCTATTTCCATGTGTACAATAAATCAGCCATAGATTATACAACATCACGGGAATCAAGGTACACACACAATTGGATGTTAGTTGTGATTGAACTCATGCACAGAATTCCATAAACAGAATTATAGTGGTCTAATTTATAAAGTGACACACCAATGGGATGGCAACCTAAATTAACTAATTGATACATGTTGCTATAGTATCAACATCACAGGGCAACATAATCTAACCACGTCAATCATATGCATTTTTTTTCTGAATGAGGCAGCAGGTTCTGTACAACTGAAACATCCCCATGTGAACAAAATACGCCTTGTATTAGAATAAAGAACACAGTTACTTAACTTGCAGTGTTTATTAAGTTTTATGTTCACAGAAGACACAAACAATATTTATAGATAGTTATTATTCAGATTCTAGAATTGCATTTAATCTAAATTAATCTGTTTTTCATTAGTATGAACCTCTGACAATTCCCTAAAAAGATCAGTCCATTAAAAATCAAAGTTACTTCTATATTCCTCAATCAAGATTTGGCATAGGGATTAAAGTAACAGGCATTTAAGTAGTAATAAAAATGTGAGGTACTCTTCTGTCTTTTCTGCAGTATGCAAAGTTCATTCGGATATTAATAAGCTATAAAACAGGGCAGGGATAAAAGTTATTTCTACTACCCTAGATAAACTTTTAACATGCCATCCTGAGCTATAAACTCCTGAGTGTGTACTTTATCTTATGCATTTCAAACACAGGATAAGTTATGGTTTTTACAATTATCTTATGAGAAATACAAATCACATTAGAAATTCTGAAAAAAAGAAGGAAACGGAAGGGGAATCTATTTAAATGGAAAAAAAGGTTTAATACTTGGTCTTTATAATGCATTGTATCACAGGCTGTGGTTTTCACTAACCATTTATACAAAAACCTATTAAGGCATCTATTTTAAGAATTCAACCTAAACATTTTTGGCAAGATAATAGAAACGTACTTTATAAGTTGCAATATGTCATTGCTATTTGTGTCCTTTTGAACAACTTAATTGGTGTCAGCATATCACATCATTATTTCTATAAAATATTCCAAGGTCCACACGGACTATAAACTCCATCAAGTATTGTTATCCACTACCCCAAAATGTAGCTATTGGCTAGTTACAGATATAAGAATGCTTCCTTCTCACTAGTTTATGTATATCTAATATACATATATAAAGACATTTAAAAGATAGCTACTTTCACAAGAAAATGTGGGATATAATGAACTTGAGAACAATCGTGAGTCTAATCTATAATTTCCTAAGAGCACTAAAATCATGGAGTGCTAGAAACTACATCAGGTTACTTGCAGTACAATGGACAACTCATCAATTTTGGTCCAATGCTGTCTTCTTGGCTTTTTTTGTCCATAAAAAAATATGCAGAAAGGAAGACATAACTGTTTTGCAGTCCTCTATGAAATGAATAATCATGGCACTTTGGGGAGCGCGTAAGTTACTCTAGGTTTCATGCAATAAGCATTTAGTTGATGTTGCACAATGGTAGCAGGCCTTAAAATAACAATTGTATGAACTCAGTGGTAGGGAAACAAGGCTGGTGTACTTTACCACACAGAAAATAATAAACACTGCTGACTTGCATTTCGATAGAGTTGAAAATTACTTAAAGGGTATCCCCTTAAATAATTTCCCCAATTCTCAGCAACAAAGACAGAACATAGTTCCATTGAGACTGGCAAATGCACATTAATCTGTGTAATCCAAGAGGCAATCTCAATACTTAAACATTCAGGAATATTAATCCCTAATGTTTCAACTCAAGTATAAACCTAATATTTGCAAATTATTAAGAAGAAAATATGGCAAATCACAACTGCAGCTGAGAGAAATGCACTCTGCATATAGTACATACAAAGAGCTTGAAAGTATGTAACCTAAGTATGTCTCTTCCAACTGAATAGGCGAGGGGCAAGAGAAATACATAGAGGCTCCTCATCATCTGGGCGTCCCCTGGGCAACGTCCTTGCAGACAGCCAATTCTCTCACACCAGAAGCAACTTGCAGTTTCCCCAAGTCGCTCCTGACACGACAAAAAAAAGAAAAAGAAAAAAAAGCAAGTCTCCTTCATTTCAGTTTTTCTAGCCCCTTCCCTTTCATGCTGTATTATTGTTTTTATTTTTGTACTGTTCTATAAATTTGCAGCCAAGGTCTCCATAATTCAGGGCTGAAATAAATGTCCGCTGTTAAAGTAAAGGACTGTTAAAACTCCTAGCTGTGCTCGAACTAGAATGACTCATGGGCTTTTGGTATTAACATGGTATTAACTTTGATATAAAGTACAGCACAATACATGCAAAGCAGAACTACCAGTCATCCCACTACATGGAGCATCTAATCCAACATACCTTCAGTTGCAACATGTGTGAAATGCCTCTATTGCATGTTTATATTTGGTGAAGTATGAGCTCTTTTATTTTGCATATCTGATTTTGTAAGACACATCTATGTTGCTTTGACATGTGACACGAACTATATAAAATCACTGACTTCCCTCACAAGATTAAAAAAATGGAAATACTTTCATAGTTTGAAAGGGACAGCAATACCAGGCACCAAAGGTACATAGTTAGATCCTTTCATTTGCAAGAACATTCATTATATTCAAATGCAACTTGAGTTTTAGAATGGTTACTTTGTGCCTTTAACAGCCCACAGCACATAACCAAATTGATGTAGGTGCTACACATTATGCAAAGACAAGAAGTGATCATCCAAACTCAGAAAGCAATCTGAATATGTAGAAATTTCTTCCAGTTCAGAGAAAGCTGGAGCTCCTCAGTGTTAAAGGAACATATTTAGTATTTATAAGAGGTTCCTAAAATGTCTCCTCTGAGACCTTTAAAAAGAAAGATAACAATGTATGTTTGAACAGTTTTTATTCAGTTCTCCCAAAAAGGGAGGAAAAGGCAAAGAGGTGTTTGTGAAATGCATCATTGTACTTACTTGCATGCCAGCCAGTAAATGTTTCATTTTACTGCTCTATAAAATACAAATACTGATTTGTGGGTTTATGATGTTTATATATTTCTTGTCTGTATAGGAAGCTATTTGAACTATTTATGAAGAAAACAGACAAATGAAATACAATCAGAATTTCATATAAAAAGATTTGGTTGGAAAACCAATTATCAGTAACCACAGGAACCGAGGCTTCTTTATGTAGCTTGTCTGCTTAGTATGGGTACAAAAACAGTTTTAGTAAAGGAGCCTAAGTGAAAGCCATTTACCTCCATCTGCAAATAGAGGTTTAGAATAATATAATTTTTGCAAGTTTTAATCAAAATGCTTGCACTGTAAGAAGATTCTATTTCATTCAAGTTTTTTTATTTTTAAAAGATGTCATATGTATGGTCAGTATAATTTACCCTGTGTAATGTTAAGTGCGAAGTGGGGAAAATTCCCAATTTATATAAATATCCAAACAAACAACCACAATTTTCCCATTCCATACACTGTGCTGTGAAAAGTCAGTGACGTGCCTTTTCAGTGGAGCAAAGAAAAGTGGCTGCAGGGCACATTATTTTAATCATCTTCTGGAAAGTTGATCTGAATAGTGTTCCCAATGTGCGAATCCAGTATGAAAACTCTACGCACATCTCTTTGTTGCTCTCTTAACCTCTACATCTTAGGAGGAGTAATTACATTTGTAGTATCTGATGAATAATTAGAAATGTTTCAGGTTTAAGTCACAAAACATGAAATAAACCACAAAAAAGGTCCAGATATGATCACAGAGGTTTATATGTCCATTATATGCCAATGGTTTGAAGAACCCTTCTTTCATTGTCATTGAGATGGTCTGAGAACATTGCATAGCAAGGCTGCTGGGCAAACTGACGTAAGAAGTCTGTAAGATAAGCCTAGAAGAAAGAAAAAAGCCATGTTAATTTAACACACACACACACACACACACAATAGAGTGATCATAGCATGACAAATTTAAGATATTCAGAAGATCTTGCAGGAAACATGCCTGCACAACAAATGAATCAACCAATGCATATTAGGAACTGCCTGTACACATCAAGAGTTTGCTGCCAAATAATTAATAGACTGTTTCAGTTTTGAATGTACTGAATCATGGAAGATAAGCCCAAGACCATGCATTTTGTTAGTTTCAAAACACTGTGCTGTCATTCTGTTACTGAATGCATTCAAGTGCTCTAAAGACCTCTATGACTTCTCACCTCCACTAAGGATAATCCTCAGAAGCAATCCATAGATTCCTCACCACTTGGAGACTCTGACTGAAAAGAACATGTTTTGACTTTGAAACACAGTTTAAAGGCTGTAAGGAAAACGTCAACACAGCCTACCTGTAGGTCTATTTGATAAAGAGGATCTTTCAGTGCATCAGGATCATCCTCGTCCTCATCTTCATAATAATCTTCATCTACAAAGCAAATGAAGTTCAAGTGAATGAAAAGGAAGTTACTATATTATCTATCATAATGTTGTTTCTTTAAAATGAAAGCTACATTTTAAATATGTAAATACTTCTAATAATAGAGTTATGGGGTTATTTAAACAGGCTTGCCTTTACAGAATCCACAGCAGAAGCAAGATTCTAGATAAACATCCTGCAGAATAGGTAAGTGGAATTCTTCAAGAAATACAAGCGTCTTTGGTGAAGCAGGATGGTGAATAGATCAAGCTTCTCCAGTTCCTTGCCCCATATACTTTTCAAGCTCTTCTTATGGGTTAATCTTTGTAACTGGTAAATTAAGGGCAAAGAGTGGGTTCCATCAAAAATGTGGGGAAATAACACTGGGGCTTTCTTCCACCTCAGACTTTTGTGGTAGTGAATTTTTTCCTAGCCTTCAAATCAGTGTTTTTAGGTGCATAACGGTGGAAATTGCTGGTGGAAGTGCACTTTGGATATCAATCTGTGTGCAGCTATCACTTCAGACTGAAAGTTTAATGCTCCACCAACTGCGCAAGGTACTACCTTTATATAAAAACACATTTTTTCCTCCTGGAGGACTATTCCAACAATAGAGCCTTCTTTTGCAGTTAGAGAATATCCAGCAGTTTTAACTGAGGTTTGTCATCTCATTTTCTATGCATTCCACAAGAAGCTTCTTGTTACCTAGTTCTGAAGATTTGTGTGCAAATTCTCTGAACCTCGTCTAAAAGTAGGATGTCTGTGATAATCCCAATTTAGATCCTTTTATTCTAACATCTGTAAATACTTCCAGCTTAGTCGCCTGCTTTGTTTTCCTTCCATTCCAAGAGACAATTTCTCTTTATGTAACAAGATTTAATTTGACACTAAAACCCTTTTCCATTTTCTAGGTATACTACCCTTCCTCTAAATTCACCAATTTAGAAGTGTTCCACTCACCATACTTGTTTGTAGCAAGAATATCTGACAACAGCTGTCCTGCTAACCCTTCGTCTTCTTCCTCTTCCTCCTCTTCTTGATCTTCCCACATAGTAGATTCCTCTGTTAAGTGACAGAAGTGGTTATGCCATGAGGACACAGATTGGGGGGGTAGGAGTTTAATAAGGAGGCATATTGTCCATATTGGTGTTTTCAGAACTGTAGATTCCTGAACAGGAAATACCAAGAAAGCTACAAATATATGAACACAAACCTTAGGCCTGATACCGGAATATATTAAAATGCATGTTGATTTCTAAAATATAAGTATATGTACCTTGGTTCCATTCTGCAGCTGTTTGTCGAGTAGCATTTGCCTCCATTGCATTAGAAAGTTCATTTATTATTAGCTTTAGGATCTTAACTAACAATGGAATGTTTGTCCAACGTTCAGGATCTGGATAAAATACAGAATATATATATATACATATACAGTACACACACACACATTTAACAAAAGATGCTGAAGCATATAGAGCACAATGAATTGTGACTATTTGCACCAGCCAGTCAACTGTGGATCCTTTCTGTACTCATTATAAAACTCTAGTATTAAAAACATACAAATGCAGAGTTATTTGAGTTGACCATAAAATAAATTCTAAAGTTCATATTATGGTATTGCCTTTATCAAGCCCACTAAAACTATTTTTGAGACTGGTTGTTTTAATAAATATATTACTATAATGTACTATTCAAACTATTTTAAGTTATATATGATATTGTACATTGGGGAACTCTCTAAACATTATCAACACCATGGTGTCTACAGCATGCAAAAGAAGGAAGTCCTTCTTTGCAAAGCAGGAATGAAGGACTGTTTTATCAGTCCAATTAATTTGACACTAATTATAGAGAAAATGGTTTCATTTGCTCTATAGCAAATACAGAAGCAGAGACAGAGCCCTCTGCTGGGCAGCCCTACAGATTTCTATACAACCATCACCAGAGCCGGCTCAAGTCATGACATCTGAGGTGCCAATAGACTCTACATGGCAGTAAGTCTGTCAAAACTAATGGGAAGGGAAAAAGACCCTCCTTGATGCGTTGCAACAACGAATGCAAGAGGGGCAAAGGGAAATGCTTTTTAAGTCTGCAAAATGTTTCAGCATCTTTTCTACTCATATGAAAAAGTCTTAAGATTTTCTATGTATTAGTTGAACTAGAATCCAGAGATAGGCCATGAGGTATGCAACTCCTCATTTCTTCTAGCAGCAACTATGTTTAACTCTTCCTGATGGGACTTCTACATGCTAAATTAGAACTCATCATTCATATATATATATATATATATATACACAGACACACACACACACACACATTCATTCATCTTACTAATTTTTATCTAAGGAAACATTTGAAAACTTACTTTTAGCTGCTTTTGATCGTGTGCGTATTCCTTCTTCCATATTAAATATTTCCTCCCCTTTTACTCTTATATCCTGAAGACGTTTGTCATCTGAATTGATACCGTACTGGAGGAGTTTACACAGGGCTACAGAGCTAAAATTTCAAAAATAATGTACCTCTTCATAATCAGATAAGACTTTATTTCTATTATTATTATTATTATTATTATTATTATTATTATTATTATTATTATTTATTAATCCCAGTTATAAAAGACCTAGCCACTCAAAAAAGCATATGTGCAGGGCTGCAAGAACGTGATCAGATAGTATATATCTTCCAGATCTTTAGGCAAGGAATTACTTATAGTTCTCAAAAAAAATTCTTTCACACTCACAATGATAAAATGCAATTAAAAAAAATCTATTTAATGTTTAAGATAATTTGTCAGATTACAGTATCTTTAAATATACAGTATTGTACTGGTTTTGAAGTACAGTAGTCTCGCTTATCCAACATAAACGGGCCGGCAGAATGTTGGATAAGCAAAAATGTTGGATAATAAGGAAGGATTAAGGAAAAGCCTATTAAATGCCAAATTACATTGTGATTTTACAAATTAAGCATCGAAACATGTTTTACAACAAATCAACAGAAAAAGGAGTTCAATACTTGGTAACATTATGTAGCAATTACTGTATTCACGAATTTAGCATCAAAACATCACAATGTATTGAAACAGTTGTGGATCCAGGCGGGAGGCAGACTGCGTTGGATTAGCGAAGGTTGAATAAACAAGATTACTGTAATAAAACATTTCATCAAATTGCCAACAGTCTCATCAATAAAACCAACAGATGAAAGTCACAATTTGAATTCAAATGTCATCATTACATTCTAAGGCTTTCACTGTGTGGATGGATTGCCATTCACATCAAACAGAAACAGATGTTGGTGCTTGACAAGAAACACTAGAATGTTTAGATCTATCCTAGACAAGAGATTCAATATAATTGGAAATTGATTATCACATCCTCCAGTTAGGATAGAAATACATGCAGTCCACAAGTTATAAACATCCAACTTACATTTGACTCATAGTTAAGAATGGGGGTGAGATAACAGGAAGTAAGAGAAATCTATCCCTCAGAAGGGGGATTCTCTCCTGAAAGAGTTATCATGGAGAAAAGGTGTCTCTACTGAAGTTTTATCCCCAATCTTTGTTTTCACAACAAGCCATTTTTTTTTCAAAATCAAATTATCATAGGCACAGGAAGTGAGGTGAAATCTCACACCAAAACAAACACCACAGAGGTATTAACCCTCCTGCATGCTATCCAGAATTAACCAACTAACTCTATCTATCTATCTATCTATCTATCTATCTATCTATCTATCTATCTATCTATCTCTGGAGTTACACTTATAAAATGTACCTGTTCTGACTTACATACAAATTTAGCTTAATAGCAAACCTACAGAACCTATTTTGTTCGTAACTTGGGGACTGCCTGTATTTACCACTTATTAAATCTGCTCCCTTCTGAAGTGGTACTTTGAGAAATGCCCTGTTTTAGAAGGTATGCTACATTTATGTAACCACTTCATTGCAATGTAACAATTTTTCAACCATTAAGCCCTAAACAAGGCAATTCAGGCACTTTTGCAACCCTTGAAGCCCTTCAGGGGTTGCCAAGCCCCAAACTGGATATGTTTGTGATAGCAATTTTTGTCCCCAAATCATCCCAAACACATTCAAAATAGGCATGTTTCCTTCCACTCAACACCACCTCCCTTTTTCTTTCCCAAACACTGAAAATCGGAACTCTAGTCTCATTCACATGTAAAAGAAAGTCTGTATACTTCAATGCAGATTGCCCTTCTCATTATATGCCAACATGGGGGGCTCTGGTTTGTAGCTTTAACGGTTGGATGAAAACAAAACCATGATCAAACCATTTTCATTACAATGAGCATTTTTCACATTTTGAGGTGCACACTATGATTAAAAATACCTTACCTGACCTTGCCTTCATATTGTCCATAGAACAAGTGTTGCCGACTCATCCACTCTGACATTACAAACTCCAAAGCAGGCTTGCCTGTTGGTCCAGGTAGGCTGCAAAGGAATTCTAATAGTGGTTCCAGCTGAGAATGAACCAGGTGAGCAAATACCATGATCAAAGACTGCAAAACAAACACAGTAATGGAGACATTTTTGTATTTGTATTTTTTGGAGCTTCAGAGAAGCCTTGGGCCTCACTAAACTACAAACCCTAGAATTCTGCAGGAGGCAATCACAGCATTTAAAGTGGATAAATGCTAAAGTGTTTAATGTTTTATTATGTTTTTAATTCTTATATTTCATGTTTTAAATGTCTTTTTATTGCATCTTATGATGAATTGTCTCATTGATTTTATACTTTGTTATGGTGTTGATTGTAATTTGGTGTACGTTTGTAAGATATTGAATTTTGCTACTATCTCTGTGTAAACCACTTTGACCCCCCCCCCCCCCCCCCCCCCCCCGGGTGAGAAAAGTGGTATATCAATACTGTAAATAAATAAATAATAATAAAGTGTGATAAGGCCCATAGTTAAGTTTTTTAACAAGCACACTGTCAAGGTTTCTTTTACTTTCCAGCCTCCTTACCTGCATTACAGTAAGTGTTTCTGCTTGCTGCATTTTACTAAGAATTGCTCTTAGAATCTGGTCCAAATTCTCTCCTAATTCACTTCCTGCTTTAGAAATCAACGTAGAAACTAATCTGCCTACAAAGGCAGCTGTAAACTCCGAGGTGCGTGGATCCAGAAGTTGGCTCACCACCTGCATCACATACCACAGTCCATTGTGGCCTTGTTCATCGTGCCACTGTGCAATCTGCTCCAGAGCTACTGAGATGTATGCACGTAGACATTCCCCACCATTCTGAACAAATAATACAACACATAGTCAAGACTCACCCTTCCAATCCACTGAGAATCCAGCCATTCCAAATTATACATTATAAACATAAAGGGGGAAAAACAGCTTCTAATATTGCAGAAGATCTTTCCATGTCCTTTTGTACCCTTGCTCTACACTTAGTTGCCTGTATCAGAATGACTGTAGATATGGATAGATGATATTAAATATTTTTATATTCAGTACAAACTGACTATAAAAACTTATTATGACTATCCTTGGAACTCATGTTGTAAATATCTAGAGAACGGCTTAAAGAGAAATGCTTCCAGATGGAAGACAAAGTCTAGAATAAATGTAAACAGCCCTGAAGTTATAAATGTGATTCACCAAGAAAGCTTTTATGTATTAAACAGTTGCCTGGCACTTCTATTTCACAATGTTAAATATCCTATTTAGTATGCAGCTGGTTTGACTAAGAAATTTTTCCACTACTTCCCTTCCTCAGCTCCCCAGCACCAAAAAATAAATAAATTACCTGCATAGTAGCATGGTCATCGGTATGAAGGCTACACTGAGCCACAGCAGGGAAAGCTTGGCATATTAAGAGCTCTGAAAGAGGAGGCTTAGTATTTCTCACAACAGTTGTTAAAATGTCTATAGAAGTCTGAAAAAGAAAAGTTCAGAAAGGGGAGATTACTGACTAGAAAATAACAAAGTGCGCATCAATGGGGTACATCTATCCCATTCCTTGAAAAGTGCTGTCGAGGGATTATGACTTTTTATTTGCTCTTTGGAAGTAGGCTATTCTTGAGTTAGGATATGAATAATCAACATTCTGACACCTTAATGCTTCATATTTTTCACTTAGCAAAAGTGATTTCCTTATGAGGAACAAGAAACAGATTGATTTTCAGGAATCACTTTTGTCATCTTCAAGATGCACAAGATTCTTCAAGATGGCCACTTCAACTAAAATAAGAAAAGTAGAAATCCGAATGTTTATGGATTGGACTTGATTAAGTTAGCTGTATTTATTTGCTACTGAAACTAATGAAACACAATAGTCATGATTCAAGTCCACCTGATTTCCATGAGACCTGGACTTAATCTAGATCCTTACCACTGTGAAAAGGCCTCACAACCTGTCAGCAAGTACTCATAATTGTAGGCCAACATAAATCAAGAAATAGTAATTGCAATGTAGCTCTAAGGCCCCAAAGATCAAGGATTAGTTATATACATTGAAAAACACACACACCCTCCCATGATTGAATACACTTTTCAGAAGCAATTTGTGAATATGTTTCTGTGTTCTATAAAGAAGAAACAAAGGGGAGAGAGAAAGAGCGTGCTTCACATTTTGAAAGTTGTCTGAATACTTACTGCACAAAGTCCTGCTGGAATCTTATCAGCAGGAGCCTGCATAATACTGACAAGTGTTGGGATCAATCTCATCTGCATTGCATCTTGGCAAGCCTGTATTTGTGCTAGTTCCTTAAAGATATCTTGAGCAAGAGAGGCAACAACAGGATCTAAAAGAGGGACAGACACCAGTAATTACTGATGAATAGCTAGATAAAGCTGCACAGCTGTAATAAGAAATGCTAGCATACTTGTTTTAAATGTTATATAGACTAAAAAATGTTCTCAGATATCTAACAGTGTACCTCTGTAAGTATGGCAGCACTTGCCTTAAAGAATTAAGTATGAGAAAAAGACTCAGCTTCAACAACTGACTCTCTTCTTTTATGTGTTACATGTGAGAAGAAAACATTTTTTTATAATAAGAGCCTTAGACTAGTTTAACCCGGTTATGCAGCAAGTTAAACCGTTGAGCTGCTGAACTTGCTGACCGAAAGATCAGCAGTTCAAATCCAGTGAGCAGGGTGAGCTCCCGCTGTTAGATTCTGCCAACCAAGCAGTTTGAAAACTTGCAAATGTGAGTAGATCAATATGTACCACTCTGGCGGGAAGGTAATGCCGGCCACATGGACGACATTGGCTCTTTGGCTTAGAAATGGAGATGAGCACCACACCCAGAGTCGGACTCAATTAGGCTTAATAGCAGGGAGAAACCTTGACCTTTACTAGAGCTCCATTAGAAGGATGTCTCTTCTACAACCAGAACCAGATACCAAACTACACTTTTTCTGATTTGATTATAGACTATTTAAGAAGCTCCTGATCAACTTTAAAAGAAATGGAATAAGCTAAACCTTTGGTTACAGTACAAAGGATTTGAGAATAAAGGTTAACTTTTGTTTGCATTTACATCTTTCTAGAAATAACAATAAGAGCATTAACAACAAGGAAGAAGCATCAACAGTGTAAAGAACATGTTTATGATTCGGGATTTAATGTGATATTATGAAACACATGAATCTGACTGCAAAAACAATGCAACATGTCATATAAATTATTTCATGCCTGTCCCGTCATAATATGGCACCACTTTAACTGCCATGGCTCAATATATGAAATCCTGAGATTTGTAGTTTGGTTTTTTTATATATATATATCGTGTCAGGAGTGACTTGAGAAACTGCAAGTTGCTTCTGGTGTGAGAGAATTGGCCGTCTGCAAGGACGTTGCCCAGGGGACGCCCAGATGTTTTTGATGTTTTATCATTCTTGTGGGAGGCTTCTCTCATGTCCCCGCATGGAGAGCTGGAGCTGGCAGAGGGAGCTCATCCGTGCTCTCCCCGGATACGAACCTGTGGCCTGTCAGTCTTCAGTCCTGCTGGCACAGGGGTTTAACCCACTTTTTTAGTTTGGTGAGGCACCAAAGAAGGCCAAAGACCTTTTTAAACTACAACTCCAATGATTTCATAGCATTGGGTCATGGAAGTTAAAGTAGTGGTAAACCGCACTAATTCTACTATCCTTAGATGCTAAAAGAGCGAACAAGTGAAATAGTGTAATTAAAAAAAATCTTAGCTAACTTTTATTTTGCACTGAACAATGTATTTTGAATTATCTGTTCATATAATATCAAGAGCTTAGCAGAATACATACCATTACTATATTTGAGAAATATTGCAATTGTGAAGGGACAAATCTTGTTCTCTACACTTGCTGTAAAGGCTGGGTCAACTGTGCAGACGATGCAAAGTGTTTCCATCACAAGATTAAGGACCTCTGAACTAAACTGAGCTGCTAAATGTATGAGTCCATCAAGGATACTAGGAAGGAAAGGCTGTAAGACATGGGTGCTTTCAGAGATTTTCAGTTGATCGCAATAACTAGGGGGAAAAGTCCAGAAAATTTCAGCAAGATTAGTAAATCGGAATAATTTCTCTCATTATCACAGATTTAAGATTATTGCCCCAATACTTCACATCTTAGCAAAACAGTAGTCATATTTGATATTTCCCCACATGTGGCCCAAATAGACTAAAATATGCCTTATCTCTTGATGTACATACCCCCAAATAGCCCTTACTGCAGAAATTCGGACAGAAGGTGGTTGGGTTTCATGAAGACCACTAACTGTAGCTTGTAGAAATTGCTGGATGAGCTCTGGGGACATGGCAACTGTGAAGCGACTTGCAGCCCAAAGAGCACGGCCAAGCAGAAAAGGGGACACTGGAAGAAAAGTATGTAAAGTATTATTGCTACGGTATCCATCCTTCTGAATCTTTACACAGCAGAGTCTTCTGCAATTGGGAAAAGCTATTTAAAGGATATAGCAAGGAGGTAAAATACTTCATTTGAATACAAAGATTCTTTCCCTGAGTGTATCTGAGACAGGGAAGACAAAGCACAGACAGTTCCCAAGTTACGAAAAAGATAGGTTCTACAGGTTTGTTCTTAAGTTGAATTTGTATGTAAGTTGGAACAAGTACATTTTAAAGTGTAACTCCAGCCACACACACAAACATATATATATATAGAGAGAGAAATATTTCATCTCACTAACTGTTCCTGTGTTAAGTCGATTTTGAAAAAACTGGCTTGTTGTGGAAACAAGGATTGCTGATAAAGCTTCAGTGGAGACACCTTGCTTTTGATTGATTTCTTTCACTTCCTGTTTTCTCACTGCCATTCTTGACTTTTGAGTCAAATGGAAATCAGATGTTTGTAACTCGGGGACTGCCTGTAATTCTAGGAGGGGTGAGTGAAAAGTCTTGAGCCTACCCGTGATGCAGTTGTCCGATAGCAATGAAACTTTACAACTGTTTCAGGAATTCCCCCTACACGTTTACACACTTTTCCCATCTGTATTCCAGTTTAGCTAACCCTTGGAGAAATAATGATTTCTCCTGTGAGTCTCACCAGTCCTTAATGGCATCCATGACAGCAAATGAGGGTGGAGATGTCCGATGTTTCTACTGTTTCATCTTTGTGTTATGAGTTGACTCAGGACATCATCTATGTTGGTGGGGAGACATTTCAAATGAGCAGAAAAAACAACAGCCATTGTTGCTCTTGTTCTGGGGTCACATTCTGGTGTTCCCACTTTGCTGAAACCTTCTGCATGTGTAATTCATTGTAGATAATCTCATGGGGGTTGTTATAATTTTATGTGACTTGTTTTATACTTTTGTACCATTTTTACCTGTTGTATGTTATATTTGCAGCTTGGAGTGCCTTATAAGCTGCCCCGAGTCCCTTCAGGGAGGATATAAATAATGTTAATTATTATATTATTATGCACATGTTTGTGTGGAATTCCCAGCTTTTCTGCTAAGAATCGCAGCATCACTTGACAGAACCATGTTGTGCACATGTGTCACATTCTTGTCCCTTGTTTCCCTGTTGACCAGTGAAGGTACCATAACCAGGGGCAGTGTTTGTTTCTCCTGTTGCCTCTGGCTCAGCTCCCGTGGACTCACTCCTGGCAGAACCGAGGCCCTGACTCTGCGGCTCAAGGCCAGCAACAACACCTGCTTGCCTCAGAGGCTGGGGCATAAAAAGAACTATGCCTGCAAGGCCTCAGGCCTAAGCAAGTGAAGGTACCATCATCAGGGGCTTTGAGGGAAGGGGCAGCGTTGTTTCTCCTGTTGCCTCTGGCTCAGCTTCTAGGGACTCACTCAGCTTCTGGGGACCACTTGGTGCTGCTGGACTCTATCTTGACTGGCCTCCATTTCAGCATCCTTGGGTCAGCACAGAGATACCTACATTTGTTTCTTCCAGCCATGGCCCTTGATTCACCTGAGCCCTCTCTTGAGTGAACACTGCGACCCCGGTTTGGCATCTCATTCTTCTCCTGATGGAACATCTGCTCTGTTAAAACTATATGTTTTATTGCATTTATATGTTTTAATTGTTTTATAATTTGATATGTTATATTTATTATTTGTTGTTGTACTTATTGCATTTATATGTTTTAATTGTTTTATAATTTGTTATGTTATATTTATTATTTGTTGTATGATGCGGTATTAAATGTTGCCATAATCTGTAAGCCACTCTGAGTCTCCTTTGGGGTTGAGAAGAGCAGGGTATAAATACAGTAAATAAATAATTAATAAATAAATTAGGCTCTTTTGCAAACTATTCCCACCCCTTTTGAATTCTGCCACACACCCTTTCACTGTTGCATAATGTGAAGCAGATTATCCCAATATATCCTGCATGTCCTTGTGAATCTATTTCACCATAAATTCCTTCAAAAACCAATAATGAATTATAATGTGACCTGAAACAAAGTTTTAACTAGTGGGAGTTCCCATTTTTCCTGATGTTTRCCCCTGTTATCAGAGAGCAACACCTAGGATGTGGGTGAAATCTAGCAGGAAGTATGATGATGAATAATTTCTCTTCCACATAACATATTTTAATKATCTTACAGTGGCTCCTTCACAGGCAGGCTCAAGACATTTTACCCATCCCTAGTAGGAAGTACTTAACATTTCTTTCTTCTGTGTATGTTGCGTAGAGAAGTATTAGGGTGGGGGGGGGGAGGGGTACTAATGTGGTATGGTACAGGAAAATAGCTGAAGTATCTGGTAATTTGTATATATCCCCTCCTTGCTTTTGATGGATGAAGCAGAAAAGAGACGTTTAATGCTTTCAAAGCCATGGGTCCTGAAAGAACAGCAACACTGAGGTACAGGGAAGAAGAAACCACTGCTTCTCCTACTCTGAAGCTCTTCCTCATTGTCAGAATTTAAGTAGACCTTAAGGTTAGATGTCAATGATTTATAAATTAATCACAGCTTGCATAAACATGGAAAAGCAATAGAATTCCTATATATAGAATAGACTTTTTTTTCTGTTTCTTTCTGTTTAATAAAATGTGGCCGCAACAACTAATTTCTCCAATGCATATATCACACAAATACTTAGAAGGTTCTTTGATTTTTAAGCATCAAATCAGTAAATCAAATGGTGAAGTACCTGACAGATTGAGGTCTGCAAGAACAACACTTGTTAGAAATCCATGCATGTCAAAGTGTATCCTGCCATTCTTCACACTGTCTGTGATAAGAGATTTGACTGAACCTAAAGCCAGCATGCAAGCTTCATGTATTTTCCACCTGCAAAATATAAGTGACTTAGGTTTTCCTATATTCATCTTTCTAGTTTAACCATTAATTCCATGGGAATGCAGGTTGAGCCTCCCTTATCCGGAAATCTGAAATACTCCAAAAAACCACATCATTTTGCTACCAGCCGCCCACTTTGGGGAAAGAGAACTAGTCACATGTTCAGTGCTCATCAATAGTGGGTGGGTCCCTATATTGGGAGAAAGGCAGTAGAAAAAGGAAGTAAATAATAATAATAATAATAATCCAATACAACAGCCAGCAGAGTGATCTTGTTTGCTGTGGACTCATCTTGTTGTGTTAATAACAACAACAACAACAATGTGTGCTGAATGGCAGAGTGTGTGTCCTGGAAACTGGCCACGGAAGGAGTGGTCTCATTAGATGCTGCCTGTATCAAGACAGAGTGAAAAAGGCTCATGGGGTGATTTTCCCTTCCTTTTCTGACTGTTTTGCTAAAACGGCAGGAAGTATGATGACACCCAGGAAAAATGTCTGAGACATCTGCCTTTGTGCAGGGGCCTTGTGTAAACAAAATGTCCTTCCTCCTCTTCTCTCTTCCCCATCAGAGCTCCTTCAGAAAAAAACTGAGCCGACGCTGGGCATGTGGCTAGCTCCCCTTCCCTCCTATACCTTATTTACTACACATATGCAAGAATAGGTATTCCAAAAACCCAAAATATTCAAAGTCTAAAAAACCTCTAGTTCCAAGCATTTCGGATAAGGGAGACTTAACCTATACTGTAAACAAACATTTGCAAACATGAATTACTGTATACTTTAAGTGAAAAGTGGGGCCCTCTATAAAATACAATACTTTCAGTATGTTATTCCAATTACTCTACTCTATACTGAAGATACAATTTGCTAGAGATGTAGTTCATAGATGATTTGATTCCCTTAAGTGGTAATTGAAAAAGATTGCACTGGTGTAGTAAGGACTATTTTAAATTAGATTAGCCTTCAGTATTAGTCTTACTGAATTAGTATTAATATTGCCTGTGAATGGCTTTAATTGGATCAAGAAGATATAGAGTTGTTTCAACGTTCTTGCAGCCTTTTAGATAATTCAGTCACTATGTGAAAAAAATACAACTGAACATTTGAAGATCTAGTTTCCCTTAGTCTCCTAGAAAATGTAGATTAAAATTGTTCTCCACAGTACCATTTATAAATGATATAATCAACAATTTATGGCCCAATAAAACAAGAGAAGATGCTGACCCTTTTGCTGAATCTTTTGTTTTCTTTATCCTACATCAGATGTTTTCCCTCTTAGTATTATTTCGTGATTATTTCAGTGTTGAGTATATATTTCACAGCAGCTTTAAGTATGGCTGATACTGGACGGATCTAAAACAAGTCATTTGGCTAAATATTGTTAAATACCAATCATTATGTTCTTTGACACCTCCCGCCCCCTTCACCCTCCAGAAAACTGTAATTATTACAAAAATCAGTCCCAAAATACCATGTACCATGCCAAATTTCACCAAAGTCCTTTGCCAAGTAAATATGATGGCAGTGATGGCAGCACAAACCCTTAGCTCATATGACTGGTGATACTTTGATATCTTACATGCATTTCTTCTATAGTCTTCTAAACTCTGTATTCTTGTTTTGAGACACATGATTGCAATTCAAGCACATAGCAAACAAAACTAATGCATTTAGCATTGATATTTATTATGTATTTTGCCACTACTGCCCCATCATACAAGGATGCATCTTACATCAGAATTTGAATAATTATTTTGTTGAAGGAAAATATCTGATGAAATTAGAACGAGACAGAGTTGAACATCAATACTATAAGACCTCTCATATATTTCTGTCATTACATGGGAACTTTTCAGACTGTACAATTATAAGTTTGATACACTTTAGCTGCCAGGCTGCACCCTAAAGAACCTGGGAATCTGAAGTCTTTTGAAGCATCAAAGATTTCTGGAACAGGATTCAATACAGCTTCAAACTATGAATGCTAAGATTCTACAGGATTGGGCCTTGGCTGCTAAAGCAGTGAGAAAAGATGGCAAGATATCTTCAAATTGGTTATGTGTATTAGACATTCCAAGATGATAGATTATCTTTGGTTTTCTATGGCCAACTAGATGTTTATGAGGAGCCATTACAGAGGTTAGGAGTGCCACTTATGTTCACTAGCAACTTCTGCTGAGAGGCATGTTTCTAATACTAACAGTAATACAGCTTACCAATGTTCAGCACCACTGTTTTTTGCTTGTTCAGCTTCCTGCAAGTGTCTTGTTGCTGCTGCAGCCAAAGCTGTTGCACTCTCATTTTGGAAATCGGCTGCCACAGCCTAAAGAAAAAGATGACAAAACCTCAAATTTGGTATGATAGTCTATAACCTAGTCTATA